GTTTTTTCTCCTCTCAGTTCTTGGCTGTCTAAATCGCTATTACTGGGCTTTTTCCCCCCCCCCGTGTGTTGGCGCCCCCTTGTGTACTAAATCGGTAATACCGTAAATCCCAGGGTGAGAGAAGGACGGTATGACGATATGAAAATCTGGATACTGCCCAACCCTACTAGTTACAGTTTTGACTTAAATCGTCTTGAAAATCTATGGCAAGACTTGAAAATGGCTGTCTATCGATGATCAACCAACTTGACAGAGCTTGAATAATTTTTTTAATAATAATGTGCAAATATTGTACTATCCAGGTGTGCAAAGCTCTTAGAGACTTACCCAGAAAGACTCACAGCTGTAATCGCTGCCAAAGGTAATAACGTATTGACTCAGGGGTGTGAATACTTATGTAAATACGTATTTTCTGTATTTCATTTTCAGTACATTTGCTAACATTTCAAAAAAACATGTTTTCACTTTGTCATTATGGGGTGTTGCATGTAGAGAGGAGTGAGAAATTCAGGCTGTAACACAACGAAATGCGTTAAGTCAAGGGGTATGAATACTTTCTGAAGGCGCTGTACTTTCATAGCATCCAAGATGGCATAGCAATGCTGTCGTGTTTTCTGTAGTGTCCTCGTGTAAATAGTTTTTTGTATTTTTCGTATATATTTCTCAATCTCACTTTCCATCCTTTAACTAAGTATACTTTCCTGCAACCCGCCTCACCCAATGTGGAACGAATTCTATTATTTCTTCATACATTTTTATCCAGAACCTCTGGCTGAAACTAGCCAGCTAACTAGCTACTTGCTATTGGCCACCGTTAGCGGTCTTCACCATTGTCTGTGGCCTGCACTACCTACCTACCAGCCAGCTCTAGCCTGGACAGTTATCGACCAGTCTGCACATCGCACTATCGAGCCTGAGCATATCGGATTTTCTGCCGGAATCACTGAATCACTGGACCTTAACACCGGATCATCGCAACTAGCTAGCTGCAACCGAATGGCTGTTGTCGTTGTTGGCTAATTACCACTTCCCGATGTACCAGTCAGCCTTGAGCTAGCCTCGAGCCAGGCCCATCTCCCGGCTATCTACCTCTCTGTCAACCGGATGGGACCTCCTAGTGTTGACACGGAGCCCCGCTGATCCATCACGACTGGTCTGCCGACGTAATCGTCTGATGTGGTTTCAACAGGCTTCCTGTTGCAACGACCATGAAGATCCATCTGCTAGCCCAGACCCGCTAGCACACGCAATCAACAGCCGTGCCTCCAGCTCGCCTGTAGCGTAGCAGCCACTGAACTGCTCCCGGACTCACCTATTGCTGTTCACTGGACCTTATGATCACTCAGCTACACAGCTGATGCCTGCTGGACTATTCCTTTATACGGTACCCTGTCCTGTTTATCTGTTTAGCCTCAGCCCAAACCTTCGTCGCCATTACCAGCTGTTGTCTTAGCTTTCTCGAATAACACCTGTGATTGCTTTATGCCTCTCTCTCATGTCAATATGCCTTGCCAATTGCTGTTTTGGTTAGTTCATATTGTACTATTTCACTGTAGAGCCCCCAGTCCTGCTCAACCTGTCTCAGATAGCTCCTTTGTCCCACCCCCCACACACGCGGAGAACGGCTCAATCGGTGCCTCCAGTGATGCTATCTCTTTCATCTTTACCCAATGCTTAGGTGTACCTCCACTCTACTCATATCCTTTCATATCCTTGTCTGTACATAATGCCTTGAATCTATTCTACAACGCTCGGAAATCTGCCCCTTTTATTCTCTGTACCCAACGCACTAGAAGACCAGTTCTTAAAGCCTTTAGCCGTATCCTTATTCTATTCCTCCTCTGTTCCTCTGGTGATGTAGAGGTTAACCCAGGCCCTGTAGCCCCCAGTATCACTCCTGCTCCCCAGACGCTATCATTTGTTGACTTCTGTAACCGCAAAAGCCTTGGTTTCTTGCATGTTAACATCAGAAGCCTCCTCCCTAAGTTTGAGTTATTCACTGCGTTAGCACACTCCGCCAACCCTGATGTTCTAGCAGTGTCTGAATCCTGGCTTAGGAAGGCCACCAAAGATTCTGAAATTTCCATTCCCAACATTTTCCGTCTAGATAGAACTGCCAAAGGGGGCGGAGTTGCAATCTACTGTAGAGATAGCCTGCAGAGCTCTATCATACTATCCAGGTCTGTGCCCAAACAGTTTGAGCTTCTATTTAAAAAAATCCACCTTTCCAGAAATGTCTCTCACTGTTGCCGCTTGCTACAGACCCCCCTCAGCCCCCAGCTGTGCCCTGGACACCATATGTGAATTGATTGCCCCCCATCTATCCTCAGAGTTCGTATTGCTTGGTGACCTAAACTGGGATATGCTTAACACCCCGGCCGTCATACAATCTAAACTAGATGCCCTCAATCTCACACAAATTATCAAGGAACCTACCAGGTACAACCCTAAATCTGTTAACATGGGCACCCTCATAGATATCATCCTGACTAATTTACCCTCTAAATACACCTCCGCTGTCTTCAACCAGGATCTCAGCGATCACTGCCTCATTGCCTGTGTCCGTAATGGGTCCGCGGTCAAACGACCACCCCTCATCACTGTCAAACGACCACCCCTAAAACACTTCAGCGAGCAGGCCTTTCTGATTGACCTGGCCTGGGTATCCTGGATGGAAATTTACCTCATTCCGTCAGTAGAGGATGCCTGGTTGTTCTTTAAAAGTGCTGTCCTCTCCATCTTAAATAAGCATGCCCCATTAAAAAAATTCATGAACAGATATAGCCCCTGGTTCACCCCAGACTTGACTGCCCTTGACCAGCACAAAAACATCCTGTGGCGTACTGCATTAGCATCGAACAGCCCCCACGATATGCAACTTTTCAGGGAAGTCAGGAACCAATATACACAATCAGTTAGGAAAGCAAAGGCTAGCTTTTTCAAACAGAAATTTGCATCCTGTAGCACTAACTCCAAAATGTTTTGTGACACTGTTAAGTCCATGGAGAATAAGAGCACCTCCTCCCAGCTGCCCACTGCACTGAGGCTAGGAAACACTATCACTACCGATAAATCTACGATAATTGAACATTTCAACAACCACTTTGCTACAGCTGGCCATGCTTTCCACCTGGCTACCCCTACCCGGGACACCAGCTCTGCACCCTCCGCTGCAACTTGCCCATGCCTCCCCCGCTTCTCCTTCACCCAAATTCAGCTAGCTGATGTTCTGAAAGAGCTGCAAAATCTGGACCCCTACAAATCAGCTGGGCTAGACAATATGGACCCTCTCTTTCTAAAATTAGCAACCGAAATTGTCACAACCCCTATTACCAGCCTGTTCAACCTCTCTTTCGTATCGTCTCAGATCCCCAGAGATTGGAAAGCTGCCGCGGTCATCCCCCTCTTCAAAGGGGGTGACACTCTAGATCCAAACTGTTACAGACCTATATCCATCCTGCCCTGCCCTTCGAAAGTTTTTGAAAGCCAAGTTAACAAACAGATCACCGACCATTTCAAATCCCACCGTACCTTCTCCGCTATGCGATCTGGTTTCCGAGCTGGTCATGGGTGCACCACCGACTCTATTCTCTGTGTATATCAATGATGTCGCTCTTGCTGCTGGTGACTCTCAGATCCACCTCTACGCAGACGACACCATTTTGTATACATCTGGCCCTTCATTGGACACTGTGTTAACAAACCTCCAAACAAGCTTCAATGCCATACAACACTCCTTCCGTAGCCTCCAACTGCTCTTAAGCGCTAGTAAAACTAAATGCATGCTCTTCAATCGAATGTTGCTTGCACCCGCCTGCCCGACTAGAATCACTACTCTCGGCGGGTCCGACTTAGAATATGTGGACAACTACAAATACCTAGGTGTCTGGTTAGACCGTAAACTCTCCTTCCAGACTCACATTAAGCATCTCCAATCCAAAGTTAAATCTAGAATCGGCTTCCTATTTCGCAATAAAGCCTCCTTCGCTCATGCTGCTAAACATGCCCTTGTAAAACTGACTATCCTACTGATCTTTGACTTCGGCGATGTCATTTACAAAATAGCTTCCAACACTCTACTCAGCAAATTGGATGTAGTCTATCACAGTGCCATTCGTTTTCTCACCAAAGCCCCATATACTACCCACCACTGTGACCCGTACGCTCTTGTTGGCTGGCCCTCACTACATATTCGTCGCCAAACCCACTGGCTCCAGGTCATCTATAAATCACTGCTAGGCATATCCCCGCCTTATCTTAGCTCATTGGTCACCATAGCAACACCCACCCATAGTATGCGCTCCAGCAGGTATATCTCACTGGTCATCCCCAAATCCAACACCTCCTTTGGCCGCCATTCCTTCCAGTTCTCTGCTGCCAATGACTGGAACTAACTGCAAAAATCTCTGAAGCTGGAGACTCTTATCTCCCTCAATAACTTTAAGCATCAGTTGTCAGAGCACCTTACCGATCACTGCACCTGTAATTAGCCCACCCAACTACCTCATCCCCATATTGTTATTTATTTTGCTCATTTGCACCCCAGTATCTCTATTTGCACATCATCTTCTGCACATCTATCACTCCAGCGTTAATACTAAATTATAATTGTAATTATTTTGCACTATGGCCTATTTATTGCCTTACCTCCATAACTTACTACATTTGCACACACTGTATATAGATTTTCTATTGTGTTATTGACTGTATGTTTTGTTTATCCCATGTGTAACTCTGTGTTGTTGTTGTTTTTATCGCACTGCTTTGCTTTATCTTGGCCAGGTTGCAGTTGTAAATGAGAACCTGTTCTCAACTGGCTTACCTGGTTAAATAAAGGTGAAATAAAAATAAATAAATAAAAATAGCAGGAATCAACATAATGCATAACAGGCTATTATTGTTGACCAAATAATAGTTTTAAAACAATCTACAGGAACGTTGTGTAGCAAAATCACAGAACATTACCAACATACACAGCATACTTTTGTAAGAAGGCGGCAATGTTGGTGTTGGTAATATTTGGTTTATCGTCCCAACTCTAAAAAGGAGTGCACTATATAGTGAATAGGGTGCCATTCTCTGGTCTAAAGGAGTGCACTATATAGTGAATAGGGTGCCATTCTCTGGTCTAAAGGAGTGCACTATATAGTGAATAGGGTGCCATTCTCTGGTCTAAAGGAGTGCACTATATAGTGAATAGGGTGCCATTCTCTGGTCTAAAGGAGTGCACTATATAGTGAATAGGGTGCCATTCTCTGGTCTAAAGGAGTGCACTATATAGGGAATAGGGTGCCATTCTCTGGTCTAAAGGAGTGCACTATATAGTGAATAGGGTGCCATTCTCTGGTCTAAAGGAGTGCACTATATAGTGAATAGGGTGCCATTCTCTGGTCTAAAGTAGTGCACTATATAGTGAATAGGGTGCCATTTGGGACGCGACACATTCCCTAAATTGTATGTTGTGATCTGTGACGTATATATCAAAACTAACACTGTTTGTGATGAACGGTTCCCCAGCGGGAGCAGGTGAGGACAGTAGTGGTGATGTGGACCATCCGACCAGCAGCAGGAGTGGAAGGAGAGAAGACAGATCCTATCCCCAGGTCAGTGGATACTCTAGTTCCCTCAAACTCTGGACCTCCAAGCCAGTTCCACTGTGTTTTTTCACAGTTTCCCTCTAATCAGGGACTGATTATAGACCTGGGACACCAGGTGGTGTAATTAATTATCAGGTAGAACAGAAAAAGCAGCAGGCTCCGGACCTCGTAGGGTCAGAGTTGAGTACCCCCTGCTGTAGGGGATAGGGTGGCTCCGGACCTCGTAGGGTCAGAGTTGAGTACCCCCTGCTGTAGGGGATAGGGTGGCTCCGGACCTCGAAGGGTCAGAGTTGAATACCCCCTGCTGTAGGGGATAGGGTGGCTCCGGAGCTCGTAGGGTCAGAGTTGAATACCCCCTGCTGTACGGGGATAGGGTGGCTCCGGACCTCGCAGGGTCAGAGTTGAATACCCCCTGCTGTAGGGGATAGGGTGGCTCCGGAGCTCGTAGGGTCAGAGTTGAATACCCCCTGCTGTAGAGGATAGGGTGGCTCCGGACCTCGTAGGGTCAGAGTTGAAGCTCCGGACCTCGTAGGGTCAGAGTTGAATACCCCTGCTGTAGGGGATAGGGTGGCTCCGGAGCTCGTAGGGTCAGAGTTGAATACCCCTGCTGTAGAGGATAGGGTGGCTCCGGACCTCGTAGGGTCAGAGTTGAAGCTCCGGACCTCGTAGGGTCAGAGTTGAGTACCCCTGGTCTAGTTGATAGTGTACATGTATTTGTTCGTTCCAAATGGCACCATGTTTCCTTTTATAGGACACTTGTTTTGACCAGTGCCCATAGGGTGCCATTTGGGACATAACCTATAATGTACAGATAACATGAACTGCACTTTCTCTATTTTCTCATTCATTGCAGGCTTTTTATTGTCCTGAATTCGCCATCAAACTCTTTAGTCCAAGACTAGGCTTAATCTGTCCCAGAATCCACCCCGATATGTCTTAAATCCCCATGAGGATAAGAAAGTTAATATTTCATCCCACACCCAGGTCCAGGTTCAGACCCACAACCTGCAGTCCCAGGTCCAGGTTCAGACCCACAACCTGCAGTCCCAGGTCCAGGTTCAGACCCACAACCTGCAGTCCCAGGTCCAGGTTCAGACCCACAACCTGCAGTCCCAGGCGGGTAAACCTGGCCAACCTGTCACCGTGTCCAACCCTCCTGTCCACCTACTGCAGGCCCAGCCTGCTGCCCTCATTGACGGGCAGATGAAGGTATGAACTCTCCATGGCTCTGTCCCAAATTGTGCCCTTTTTGCTATTTAGTACACTACTTTTGACCAGGGCTCTAGTTGAAAGTAGCACACTGTAAAGGTAACAGGGTGCTATTAAAACACCCCATTTCCCTCTCTCCCCTAGCCTGATCCCAGATCTGTGTGTTGTGTATAGCCAACTATACAAGACGACGCGAACACATCTGGAACCAGGCTATCATCTGATTGAGAACTCACCCAGTCAGAGCGGAAAAGTTGATACCCCCCAAGTGTCCAAAAATATAGATTTAAAAATAGATTGATGGTCTATGTTATCTCTACCTTAAATCAAATCTATGTGTTTAGGACAGCAAATATCATAGAAAAAAACTCAACGTTTTAAGAGGACTAATAAGATTTCGGTGTGTTTTTTTTTCTTCTCCCCCAGGCTGCCCTGAAATCGCTGATGCCCAGTCGTCTCATCGCCCCAGCTCCAGCCTCCAGCCAGGGCCAGGGGGGCCACATCCCTCTTCCTCTGCCCCCCAAGGTGCAGCCTGCCCTGCCTGGCCACATCACTGTCACCCTGGAGAGCAACATTGCTCCCATCTCCTCCATCCCTGTCGCGACCATCAGTGGACAGCAGGTGACTACATAGCCCTAATACATTCTCATTGACTCTGGTCTGTGATCATTGTTTTGGAAAACGCTTTATAATAACGTTCAGGAATAAGCCATTAGGGACCGGTTTCCTGGACACAGATTAAGCACCAGTCAACAGACTTATCTTTGTTGAAAATGTGTTTTTAGTCCAGGTCTAGGGCTTAACCCGTGTCCAGGAAACCGCCCCATAATGCTTGAGTAACGACTGATGTTTTTTTGTCCTATTCTTAATTCAGGGCCACTCCGGTAACCGGCATCACCTCATGGCAGCTAATATCCAGATAATCAGAGCTCCTTCTGTTCCTCAACACACATTCACCTCTCACCTACCCAGAGGTATGTACTGTACCTCCCTCTAACCCGCCCAGAGGTATGTACTGTACCTCCCTCTAACCCACCCAGAGGTATGTACTGTACCTCCCTCTAACCCACCCAGAGGTATGTACTGTACCTCCCTCTAACCCACCCAGAGGTATGTACTGTACCTCCCTCTCACCCAGCGTTTTGGGGCCCCTAAGCGACATCTGGTTTGAGGCCTAGCCCCCACTGTTCCACAACAAACATTCACTTCCCATTTACCCTAAGCCTATAGTACTGTCAGGAGGGGAAACTTTTGACATTCTATTTTTGCTGGCGTGTTGCACTCCTCTGGCTCGGCCTCTAGAGGGAGCTCTTACCCTCTGCCTTTCGTTCTGGAAGATGTTCTCTAATCAACGTTGTGCTGTCTGTCTTCCAGGGGCGGTGGCTGCAGCAGTGATGTCCAGCTCTAAAGGGCCTGCTGTTCTCAGACCAGCATCAGGGGCCAGTGCAGCTGTTCTCAGACCAGCATCAGGGGCCAGTGCAGCTGTTCTCAGACCAGCATCAGGGGCCAGTGCAGCTGTTCTCAGACCAGCATCAGGGGCCAGTGCAGCTGTTCTCAGACCAGCATCAGGGGCCAGTGCAGCTGTTCTCAGACCAGCATCAGGGGCCAGTGCAGCTGTTCTCAGACCAGCATCAGGGGTCAGTGTAGCTGTTCTCAGACCAGCATCAGGGGCCAGTGCAGGCCCTGTTCTCAGACCAGCATCAGGGCCCAGTGCAGCTGTTCTCAGACCAGCATCAGGGGTCAGTGCAGGCCCTGTTCTCAGACCAGCATCAGGGCCCAGTGCAGCTGTTCTCAGACCAGCATCAGGGCCCAGTGCAGGCCCTGTTCTCAGACCAGCATCAGGGCCCAGTGCAGGCCCTGTTCTCAGACCAGCATCAGGGCCCAGTGCAGGCCCTGTTCAGACCACAGTACACCACATCACCCAACAGACTATTCAGGTACTTACCCCAGTTTTATTACAGCTCAATGGCATTGTTATGGTGGGAGAGTTTACAGCTCAATGGCATTGTTATGGTGGGAGAGTTTACAGCTCAATGGCATTGTTATGGTGGGAGAGTTTACAGATCAATGGCATTGGGGTTATGGTGGGAGAGTTTACAGATCAATGGCATTGGGGTTATGGTGGGAGAGTTTACAGATCAATGGCATTGGGGTTATGGTGGGAGAGTTTACAGCTCAATGGCATTGTTATGGTGGGAGAGTTTACAGATCAATGGCATTGGGGTTATGGTGGGAGAGTTTACAGATCAATGGCATTGTTATGGTGGGAGAGTTTACAGATCAATGGCATTGTTATGGTGGGAGAGTTTACAGCTCAATGGCATTGTTATGGTGGGAGAGTTTACAGATCAATGGCATTGGGGTTATGGTGGGAGAGTTTACAGCTCAATGGCATTGTTATGGTGGGAGAGTTTACAGATCAATGGCATTGGGGTTATGGTGGGAGAGTTTACAGATCAATGGCATTGTTATGGTGGGAGAGTTTACAGCTCAATGGCATTGTTATGGTGGGAGAGTTTACAGCTCAATGGCATTGTTATGGTGGGAGAGTTTACAGCTCAATGGCATTGTTATGGTGGGAGAGTTTACAGCTCAATGGCATTGTTATGGTGGGAGAGTTTACAGCTCAATGGCATTGTTATGGTGGGAGAGTTTACAGCTCAATGGCATTGTTATGGTGGGAGAGTTTACAGATCAATGGCATTGTTATGGTGGGAGAGTTTACAGATCAATGGCATTGGGGTTATGGTGGGAGAGTTTACAGATCAATGGCATTGTTATGGTGGGAGAGTTTACAGCTCAATGGCATTGTTATGGTGGGAGAGTTTACAGATCAATGGCATTGTTATGGTGGGAGAGTTTACAGCTCAATGGCATTGTTATGGTGGGAGAGTTTACAGCTCAATGGCATTGTTATGGTGGGAGAGATTACAGCTCAATGGCATTGTTATGGTGGGAGAGTTTACAGCTCAATGGCATTGGGGTTATGGTGGGAGAGTTTACAGCTCAATGGCATTGTTATGGTGGGAGAGTTTACAGCTCAATGGCATTGGGGTTATGGTGGGAGAGTTTACAGCTCAATGGCATTGTTATGGTGGGAGAGTTTACAGATCAATGGCATTGTTATGGTGGGAGAGTTTACAGATCAATGGCATTGTTATGGTGGGAGAGTTTACAGATCAATGGCATTGGGGTTATGGTGGGAGAGTTTACAGATCAATGGCATTGTTATGGTGGGAGAGTTTACAGCTCAATGGCATTGTTATGGTGGGAGAGTTTACAGATCAATGGCATTGTTATGGTGGGAGAGTTTACAGCTCAATGGCATTGTTATGGTGGGAGAGTTTACAGCTCAATGGCATTGTTATGGTGGGAGAGATTACAGCTCAATGGCATTGTTATGGTGGGAGAGTTTACAGCTCAATGGCATTGGGGTTATGGTGGGAGAGTTTACAGCTCAATGGCATTGTTATGGTGGGAGAGTTTACAGCTCAATGGCATTGGGGTTATGGTGGGAGAGTTTACAGCTCAATGGCATTGTTATGGTGGGAGAGTTTACAGATCAATGGCATTGTTATGGTGGGAGAGTTTACAGCTCAATGGCATTGTTATGGTGGGAGAGTTTACAGCTCAATGGCATTGTTATGGTGGGAGAGATTACAGCTCAATGGCATTGTTATGGTGGGAGAGTTTACAGCTCAATGGCATTGGGGTTATGGTGGGAGAGTTTACAGCTCAATGGCATTGTTATGGTGGGAGAGTTTACAGCTCAATGGCATTGTTATGGTGGGAGAGTTTACAGCTCAATGGCATTGTTATGGTGGGAGAGTTTACAGCTCAATGGCATTGTTATGGTGGGAGAGTTTACAGATCAATGGCATTGTTATGGTGGGAGAGTTTACAGATCAATGGCATTGGGGTTATGGTGGGAGAGTTTACAGATCAATGGCATTGTTATGGTGGGAGAGTTTACAGCTCAATGGCATTGTTATGGTGGGAGAGTTTACAGATCAATGGCATTGTTATGGTGGGAGAGTTTACAGCTCAATGGCATTGTTATGGTGGGAGAGTTTACAGCTCAATGGCATTGTTATGGTGGGAGAGATTACAGCTCAATGGCATTGTTATGGTGGGAGAGTTTACAGCTCAATGGCATTGGGGTTATGGTGGGAGAGTTTACAGCTCAATGGCATTGTTATGGTGGGAGAGTTTACAGCTCAATGGCATTGGGGTTATGGTGGGAGAGTTTACAGCTCAATGGCATTGTTATGGTGGGAGAGTTTACAGATCAAATGTTAACTTGCACACCATGTCTTTCTCATTTGTGGTGCAGGAAATGACTGCCCCGGTGTTGGAGTTTCTTCATTATAACAAAGATAACTCCTGCGTTCATGATTTTTCCCTCTGTAGTTGTTTGTGTTGACAGTTCAGTCAGTCATGTAGAGAAACATCGTGTGACATACAACGCTTGATACTCTCCCTCTCTTCTTCCTCCTCAGTCTCGTCCCCCTGTCACCGGCTCTACAGCGGTCCTTCCCACAGTAGTGGACCCCATCTCAGCCACCCGGAACCAGTCCCCTGTCATCAACCCAACGGTCACCCGCTCTGCAGAGATGCTGCATGGGTAAGTGGCCCAAATGCTATCCTAGCATTGATAAGGATAGTGTGGGATGTTGGCCCTTTATCTACTTACCCAGAGTCAGATGAACTGATGGTCAGGGCTCTAAATTAAACATTTTTTATTGGTAGCAGTGGTGCTCCCGACTTTAAAAAAAAGTTAGGAGCACCAGAAAATAAGATTGTGATGTAGCCTACGTGAATTCCATCTACTTCCGAAGCACATGTTGTGCCCTAGAAACGAATATGTAACCCTGTAAATACGTTTGTTTATTATAAAAAGCTAAACTGTTGATACGAATATCTGTCATTGAAATTAAAAAGTCATTTGTGGAATATTGGGTTTCTACATTGTGTTAAAAGCACTATTTTCCTATTGAAAAGTGTACACTGTCTCTTTTATAAAAAGCATCAAGGTTGATGAGGACATGCAAGAGATGGGTCATTCATTCATTGCTGTGATCATTGATCTCCTGAAGAAAACATCCCCTTTCCTTTGTTTCTGTGTCCCCGATGTTTGGATAAACTAGAGTTACCAGGTTGTTAGCTAGCTAGCCAATGAGGTAACAGGACTGAACAAGGTGTAAAACAAAGGCAGCCTGCGAGTAGTTTTATAACGCCCTGCTTTATGAATGTAAAACGCATGCAAATATATATATATATATATATATATATATAATATATAGACTTCCCTTTAACCACCTGTATAAATGACAAAATGAACAATAGGACTTCTCTTTAACCACCTGTATAAATGACAAAATGTGTGTTTGTGCCCACAATGTTTAGAATTCAAATTTGAAGTTTATTGACCATGTATAATATATTGAAACAATACCCACCAGAGCTCTCACATTAAAGGGATGGTGGGTTGATGATGTCACATTAAAGGGATGGTGGGTTGATGATGTCGCATTAAAAGGGATGGTGGGTTGATGATGTCACATTAAAGGGGTGGTGGGTTGATGATGTTGCATTAAAGGGATGGTGGGTTGATGATGTCACATTAAAGGGATGGTGGGTTGATGATGTTGCATTAAAAGGGATGGTGGGTTGATGATGTCACATTAAAGGGATGGTGGGTTGATGATGTCACATTAAAGGGATGGTGGGTTGATGATGTTGCATTAAAGGGATGGTGGGTTGATGATGTCACATTAAAGGGATGGTGTGTTGATGATGTCACATTAAAAGGGATGGTGGGTTGATGATGTCACATTAAAAGGGATGGTGGGTTGATGATGTTGCATTAAAGGGATGGTGGGTTGATGATGTTGCATTAAAAGGGATGGTGGGTTGATGATGTCGCATTAAAGGGATGGTGGGTTGATGATGTCACATTAAAGGGATGGTGGGTTGATGATGTTGCATTAAAAGGGATGGTGGGTTGATGATGTCGCATTAAAAGGGATGGTGGGTTGATGATGTCGCATTAAAGGGATGGTGGGTTGATGATGTCGCATTAAAAGGGATGGTGGGTTGATGATGTCGCATTAAAAGGGATGGTGTGTTGATGATGTCACATTAAAAGGGATGGTGTGTTGATGATGTCACATTAAAAGGGATGGTGGGTTGATGATGTCACATTAAAGGGATGGTGGGTTGATGATGTTGCATTAAAGGGATGGTGGGTTGATGATGTCACATTAAAGGGATGGTGGGTTGATGATGTTGCATTAAAAGGGATGGTGGGTTGATGATGTCACATTAAAGGGATGGTGGGTTGATGATGTCACATTAAAGGGATGGTGGGTTGATGATGTTGCATTAAAGGGATGGTGGGTTGATGATGTCACATTAAAGGGATGGTGTGTTGATGATGTCACATTAAAAGGGATGGTGGGTTGATGATGTCACATTAAAAGGGATGGTGGGTTGATGATGTTGCATTAAAGGGATGGTGGGTTGATGATGTTGCATTAAAAGGGATGGTGGGTTGATGATGTCGCATTAAAGGGATGGTGGGTTGATGATGTCACATTAAAGGGATGGTGGGTTGATGATGTTGCATTAAAAGGGATGGTGGGTTGATGATGTCGCATTAAAAGGGATGGTGGGTTGATGATGTCGCATTAAAGGGATGGTGGGTTGATGATGTCGCATTAAAAGGGATGGTGGGTTGATGATGTCGCATTAAAAGGGATGGTGTGTTGATGATGTCACATTAAAAGGGATGGTGGGTTGATGATGTCACATTAAAGGGGTGGTGGGTTGATGATGTCACATTAAAAGGGATGGTGGGTTGATGATGTCGCATTAAAGGGATGGTGTGTTGATGATGTCGCATTAAAGGGATGGTGTGTTGATGATGTCACATTAAAGGGGTGGTGGGTTGATGATGTCACATTAAAGGGGTGGTGGGTTGATGATGTCACATTAAAGGGATGGTGGGTTGATGATGTTACATTAAAGGGATGGTGGGTTGATGATATCTTGTGCTCCCTCCTCCAGGCATCCAGGGCTGACCATCCACCCTCCTCCGGCCACCATCAGTATCCAGCGTCCCCAGGGGGCCAGGGACACGGCCACACGGATCAACCTGCCCTCCCACCCTGCCATATGGGGGCAGAAACCCCAGCCCCCCCACACCATGACACAGGTCAGAACCTGGTGAAGATAAATATTTACCTTTGGCTCTATACTCCAGCATTTTGGATTTGAGATCAAATGTTCTTATATCAGGCAACAGAATAGAATGTCACCTTTTATTTTAGGGTATTTTCATATGCATATCTGTTTTACTATTTATAAATGAAAGCACTTTTCCCTGTTGCAGGAAATGTTTAACTTGCATAGTGTATTTGAGGTTTAAAGAGGCTTCTGAAGTTTAATTTACACTTCGAAATTTCAGACTTGATTTTCCCTTACGAAAAATGTATAATTGTCCTGCTGTAGCAAACTGGCTCAAATTAAGATCCTACATCTGTATTTGGACAAAATTCACTTATAGTGTATTAAAATAAAAGTGACTCCAAAATGACAATACATTATTCACCATTCACTTTCTATTGGGCAAAATACAGTTCGAAACACGGCAGGTAGCTTAGTGGTTAAGAGCGTTGTGCCAGTAACCGAAAGGTCGCTGGTTCTAATCCCCGAGCCGACTAGGTGAAAAATCAGTCGATGTGCCCTTGAGCAAGGCACTTAACCCTAATTGCTCCTGTGTAGCTAGGGGTAAAGTGACTATGCATAGATAATAAACAGAGAGTAGCAGCAGTGTAAAAACAAAGGGGGGGAGTCAATGTAAATAGTCCGGGTGGCCATTTGATGAATTGTTCAGCAGTCTTATGGCTTGGGGGTAGAAGCTGTTAAGGAGCCTTTTATGACCTAGACTTGGCGTTCTGGTACCACTTGCTGTGCGGTAGCAGAGAGAACCCAGTGGGTGACTGGAGTCTTTGAGATTTTTTTGGGCCTTCCTCTGACACCGCCTGGTATAGAGGTCCTGGATGGCAGGAAGCTTGGCCCCAGTGATGTACTGGGCCGTACGCACCCTCGCCTGTAGTGCCTTGCGGTCGGAGGCCGAGCAGTTGCCATACCAGGCAGTGATGCAACCAGTCAGGATGCTCTCGATGGTGCAGCTGTATAACTCTTTTGAGGATTTGCCAAATATTTTCAGTCTCCTGAGGGGGAATAGGCTTTGTCTTGCCCTCTTCACGACTGTCTTGGTGTGTTTGGACCATGACAGTTTGTTGGTGATGTGGACACCAAGGGACTTGAAAGTTCTCGACCCGCTCCACTACAGCCTCGTCGATGTGAATGGGGGCGTGTTCGGCCCTCCTTTTCCTGTAGTTCACGATCAGCTTCTTTGTCTTGATCACGTTGAGGGAGAGGTTGTTATCCTGGCACCACACTGCCAGGTCTCTGACCTCCTCCCTATAGGCTGTCTCAGACAGGAGGGGACTAAGCATGCACCCCTGAGGGGCCCCCGTGTTGAGGATCAGCGTGGCGGATGTGTTGTTACCTACCCTTACCACCTGGGGGCGGCCCGTCAAGAAGTCCAGGATCCAGTTGCAGAGAGAGGTGTTTAGTCCCAGGGTCCTTAGCTTAATGATACGCTTTGTGGGCGCTATGGTGTTGAATGCTGAGCTTTAGTCAATGAATAGTATTCTCACATAGGTGTTCCTCTTGTCCAGGTGGGAGAAGGCAGTGTGGAGTGCAATAGAGATTGCATCATCTGTGGATCTGTTGGGGCGGTATGCGAATTGGTGTGGGTCTAGGGTTTCTGGGATGATGGTGTTGATGTGAGCCATAACCAGCCTTTCAAAGCACTTCATGGCTGCAGACGTGAGTGCTATGGGTCGGTAGTCATTTAGGCAGGTTACCTTAGTGTCCTTGGGCACAGGAACTATGGTGGTCTGCTTGAAACGTAGGTATTACAGAGTCATTCAGGGAGAGGTTGAAAATGTCAGTGAAGATGTGTGTGTGTGTGTGTGTATGTATGTATAAGTGTTTTCATTTCTAAACAGTAAAACGGATATGTATGAAAATACCCTCAAATAAAAGGTGACATTCTGGACGGTCGGTCGCCTCATGAAACATTTGATCTCAAATCCCAAATGGTGGCGTATAGAGCCAAATGTAACATTTTTTTTAGCTTCACTGTCCAAATACATACGGAGGGGAGGGTAAGATGCTCTGTGGTTGTTCTCCTCAAGTCTTGTTTTCTGTTTGTCAAATGCTGTTATATTGAAGGGTGACACTACGACATAGACATAGAAGAACATATATTACCTTGTATTACAGAAATCCATCTTCGGTAGTGGGACTCCGGTGGCTGCAGCAACAGTGGCGCCGATTCTAACCACCACCACAGGTAAGGAACACCCACAGAGATCCTTTTTAAATCACTTGAATGAATATTTTAATATGTAATTCTATGAGGCCACCATTTCTAGGACCCATATTCACAAAGAGTCAGAGGAGGAGTGCTGATCTAGGATCCGTTTAGCCTTTTTAGATCATAATTTAAATAAAATGACATGGACATTTTAAAGAACAACTGCCCCTAAAAATCAGCCTATTTTAGAGGCCTCCCTGTTATAGTTTTAAAGCTAATTTCCTACCATTCTATACATTTACATTATTTAGCAGACGCTCTTATCCAGAGCGACTTAGTGACTGCATACATTATTATTAATTTTTTCATACTGGCCCCCCGTGGGAATCGAACCCACAACCCTGGCGTTGCAAACGCCATGCTCTACCAACTGAGCTACATCCCTGCCGGCCATTCCCTCCCCTACCCTGGACGACGCTGGGCCAATTGTGCGCCGCCCCATGGGTCTCCCGGTCTCGGCCGACAGAGCCGACAGAGCCTGGATTCGAACCAGGATCTCTAGTAGACCACTGCGCCACTCGGGAGCCCTATACATTTTGCCATAGTTCATGCTATCTCAGTGACTCGAACATGAGTGACTCAAACATTTTAAAAGGTCATTCTACTCCAAAATGAATTAAAATAAAATAATGCTGGGCTATTGGTATAATTATTAGTTTAAATTATTTTGACATATTGGACCCATATAGCCTATGCTTGGTCCGTATTATAAGGTATGCTATTAGAAAATAAGCATTATCGCTGGCTATAAATAAATAGGCTGAAGCATGGGGTTGTCTATCTGCATTCACCCTATTGGACTAATCATTAGCTAGATCCCAAATGTGATATTTTAACTAGTTGGCATACATGTTATGTCCCCAAAAACGTGCATAAACACAGTAAATATAATTTAGGCCTACCTGGGTAACTTGGGGTAAACCGCTGCCGGGGTAAAGTTCCCCCTGCCTGTACTTCTCACAGAAACCCCTTCATGTCACCATCCCCCCCCCCCCCCCCCCAACACTTTCCCTTGCTCAACTAAAAATGGAATCTGTCTCATCACAATTTAAGTCACCCCCAAAAAATATGTTGAGTTTGGGCGGCATTTTACCCCAAGTTACCTTACAATTGACCCATGTTACAAACTTGCTTAAACATGCTGCTGCTAAAAACGGGTGCAGTTTGCTCTTTTAGGAGTTCAGAAATAAAGTAGAAATGGAAACCCCCTCTTTCTAATATTTATCTCGCATAGAACACACAACAACAAGCCGACTAGGTAAATAGATAAACTATTTTTACTATGGGGTTGTCAAGATTGTTCTATTCATTACTCATTTTGTTTGCAGGGGAAAAGTAAATGTGGAATGCTTTTTTAGCGTCTTCAAAGTGCGCCTCGTCAGATTGTTATATCTTTTATGCTCCATATTTTTGGGGGCGTGGCGGCAGTGATTTTGCCAATGGCGTAGCGCCATATATAAACTGCAGCGGAAACACTGCCTCAAACCAACTATAAATTCTATACACATTTTGAAAGCATTTAATGAGAACTAAAAGGTGTGCACATGAAAATATTGTCTTATTTACATTGTGTCATTTATTGACGGCCCCTAATTAGCCACGGAGATGGGGCTAGCCAAAGTCAAACCACCAGCCGGCTGAAGCTAATTGGCTAAATAATTTGGCTAACTCTTTCCGCCTTGCGAACACACACGAGACCCACATCAAACCACAGCCCGAAACCAACTCACGTTTGAATGGCCGCCGACATTTCTTAATGAACCAAATCTAAAAAACGAGGCCAAGTCAGGAAGTACAGTCGCCCTTTTTAACGATTCCTTGTTGAAACAAATGGTATTCTCTTTCCCATGATCCTCTGTCCCTGTCCTCTTTCAGGCACTGCGCCGCACACCCAGATGACCAGCGGTACTGTCGTCACCATGGCGATGACCTCCCACTCCTCCCATGCCACAGCAGTGACCACCTCTACCATCCCAGTTGGTGAGTAACAGCTGGTATAAAACTCAGATGCAGTGAAAGCTAGTGCACAAAATACTCAGACACATTCAAAGCCACTAGTGGGCTTTTTTGCATTCATTATTTATTTCCTTTAAAGAGTATTTCCATCTTTACTTCCATTAAATCTTTTAACTTTGAAACTGCGTAGAAGTGCTCTCATAGTTCCTCATTTTGGATAATCAGCCTATTTGAGCTCTTGTCTATTCCTACCACTCTCCTGTCTCATAATCCCCATCCTCTGTTGTATCGACAGCTAAAGTGTATTTCTTTCATTATGTTGTACCAACAGCTAAAGTGGTGCCCCAGCCCATAGCCCACACCTCCCCGCGTGTCCAATCAGACTACCAGCCCATAGCCCACACCTCCCCGCGTGTCCAATCAGACTACCCGGCAGAGAGGACCAACCTGATCTCCATCTCTGGCCACCGCTCCTCTCCTAACCCTGTCGCCATCGAGGGCAGGAGTGACAACAGGCCGTCTGGACCGGTGCACTTCCAGTACTTCCTGCCCACCTACTCCTCTTCTCCGTACCCCATGACACACACCTACGCCCCCATCACCAGCTCTGTGTCCCCCACCAGACAGTACCCAGGTAAACACGTCAACACTTTTGAATTTAACTTCATTCAATTGACTCTGGAAAACCTTGCCCAATACACAAAAGAGTAAATACCTTAAGGATCAGTCGGCATAATCTCCCAGGTCTGCTTGACTGACACCCTGCTCCTCTCCTCAGCGACGCCCCAGACCCCTAGCTCCGCTCAGCCCAGCCAGCCTGCTGTGGCTGTGGCCACTACTGTCCACCTCAACCCCATGCAGCTGATGGCCGTGGACAGGATTGGTCTACAGTCTGCACAAATCAGCACCCAGGGAATCCAGCCTCAACCAATGGGAGCCCAGGGCATCCAGCCTGCACCAATGGGAGTGCAGGGGTTGCGTAGCTCTGGTCCAATCGGCACACAGGGGATTCAGCAGGCACCAATCGCAGGGCAGCAGTCTGAGCCGAAACCATCTGGTAATCTACAGTATACTAATGTTTAACATGGCCTCAAGAAGCAGCATATCCTACTTGAAATATTGAATATGTCCCACAGGGACCACAAACACATACTGAAAATATTGTACAAATATATACTTTGGATAAAACGTCTGCTCAAGGTGATGTGATTTGAATGATAATTGATCAAATCTATATGATAAGTCTATGGCTGTACATCTGAACCTGTGTTCTGTCCTGTGTCTGTTCTGCAGGGATATTATTGGCTGAAGGCGGTACGTTTGTGGGTGGTCCTATGGGCAGCCCGTTCGGCGCCACACAGCCTAATGCTACCACTGTACAGACACACCCCCAGGGCGGAGTAGGAGGCGGAGCTCCCCCCCTGGTTCCCTCCCCTCGACCCAGCATCCTCCGCAAAAAGCCGGCCAATGAGGGGTGAGTCAATCAGTCGGTCAATTAATGAATCGATCTGCCGGCCAATGAGGGGTGAGTGAGCCTCTGAGCCCAGGGGAACTCAGTCCGGCTTTCAAAGTTGTAATAGTAGAATGCACAAGCTGCAATTTAGAACTCGGGCAGTGCATCATCAGTTTTCCTCTTGTCATGATTGGTCCTCTGTAGCTCAGCTGGTAGAGCACGGCGCTTGTAACGCCAAGGTAGTGGGTTCGATCCCCGGGACCACCCATACACAAAAATTTATGCACGCATGACTGTAAGTCGCTTTGGATAAAAGCGTCTGCTAAATGGCATATTATATTATTATGTCAGTCGTCGCAGACCTTAGAGAGCCTATTTATAACTTGTCAGAAATCAGATCAACTAACCCATGTCAGCTAACGCTTATTTTAGCTAGTTTTTTTTTTTAGCCTACAGATTTTGTTGTAACGTTCGAGTCACTCAAATATCACATGAATACACATGAGACATGACAAAATGTGTAGAATTCTCAAGAAATAAGCTTTAAACCTGCAAAATGTTCTCTCCGCCAACAAGAGGGGGAGGTGGAACACTTGGTGTCACATGAACAGTGCTTGTGCCCATGGAAACAGAACAGTGCTTGTGCCCATGGAAACAGAACAGTGCTTGTGCCCATGGAAACAGAACAGTGCTTGTGCCCATAGAAACAGAACAGTGCTTGTGCCCATGGAAACAGAACAGTGCTTGTGCCCATGGAAACAGAACAGTGCTTGTGCCCATAGAAACAGAACAGTGCTTGTGCCCATAGAAACAGAACAGTGCTTGTGCCCATAGAAACAGAACAGTGCTTGTGGCCATAGAAACAGACGTGGTGTGCGCCGGATGTTCCCCAATGCTGAGTGAAAAAGTTTGGGAACCCCCTGTCATAAACAAATCTCTCAAGCATAAGCCCACATGCTTAGTGAGTAGCCAGACAGTCTTTATATTTCAAGTCTAGCTAACTTGTATCTATTTGCTCGTTAACGAGGTAGAACCGTTTAACTGTTATGAACGCACCCTCCTGTCCGTCTCCCAACTGTTTGAACAACATAGCCCGTTCACTTTGTTTAGATGTTGAAATCAAGTGGCCTACCTGCATAACAAGATGCTTATTTCTCTGAATTAGAACTAGTTGCCAATTGCTTATATTAATGAATATTTTTATGCTAGTTGCACATTTCTAAAACACAGACTAGACAGCTGGCACATGACAGGATGTGGCTAAAATACTGCTAGCGGTACTGCAATGCCGCGCGCGACAAAAACTGAACATTCATTTTCCACAATCATGTTCATTGATACTCCCATTTTAGTAGGGTCTGCTCTGTTCTACATGTTGGGAGGTGAGACATAATAAAGGAATAGGTACAAGGGGAATCGACCGATTTCTGTTGGACCAAGCCTCTAATGCAAATAGTGAGTTGAAACTGCTTGTTGTCATAGAGGAAGACGTGATCTTTCCTCTTTATTGTGGGTGGCAGGGGGAGGGGCTTGGTGTCTGTGGAGAGGGAAGGTGTACAGAAGGAGGAGGGGCTTGGTGTCTGTGGAGAGGGAAGGTGCACAGAAGGAGGAGGGGCTTGGTGTCTGTGGAGAGGGAAGGTGTACAGAAGGAGGAGGGGCTTGGTGTCTGTGGAGAGGGAAGGTGCACAGAAGGAGGAGGGGCTTGGTGTCTGTGGAGAGGGAAGGTAAACAGCACAGAAGGAGGAGGGGCTTGGTGTCTGTGGAGAGGGAAGGTAAACAGCACAGAAGGAGGAGGGGCTTGGTGTCTGTGAGAGAGGGAAGGTAAACAGAAGGAGGGGCTTGGTGTCTGTGGAGAGGGAAGGTAAACAGGACAGAAGGAGGAGGGGCTTGGTGTCTGTGGAGAGGGAAGGTAAACAGCACAGAAGGAGGAGGGGCTTGGTGTCTGTGGAGAGGGAAGGTAAACAGCACAGAAAGAGGAGGGGCTTGGTGTCTGTGGAGAGGGAAGGTAAACAGCACAGAAGGAGGAGGGGCTTGGTGTCTGTGGAGAGGGAAGGTAAACAGCACAGAAGGAGGAGGGGCTTGGTGTCTGTGAGAGGGAAGGTAAACAGCACAGAAGGAGGAGGGGCTTGGTGTCTGTGGAGAGGGAAGGTAAACAGAAGGAGGAGGGGCTTGGTGTCTGTGAGAGGGAAGGTAAACAGCACAGAAGGAGGAGGGGCTTGGTGTCTGTGAGAGGGAAGGTAAACAGCACAGAAGGAGGAGGGGCTTGGTGTCTGTGTGAGAGGGAAGGTAAACGGCACAGAAGGAGGAGGGGCTTGGTGTCTGTGGAGAGGGAAGGTAAACAGCACAGAAGGAGGAGGGGCTTGGTGTCTGTGAGAGGGAAGGTAAACAGCACAGAAGGAGGAGGGGCTTGGTGTCTGTGGAGAGGGAAGGTAAACAGCACAGAAGGAGGAGGGGCTTGGTGTCTGTGGAGAGGGAAGGTAAACAGCACAGAAGGAGGAGGGGCTTGGTGTCTGTGGAGAGGGAAGGTGCACAGAAGGAGGAGGGGCTTGGTGTCTATGGAGAGGGAAGGTAAACAGCACAGAAGGAGGAGGGGCTTGGTGTCTATGGAGAGGGAAGGTAAACAGTACAGAAGGAGGAGGGGCTTGGTGTCTGTGGAGAGGGAAGGTAAACAGCACAGAAGGAGGAGGGGCTTGGTGTCTATGGAGAGGGAAGGTAAACAGCACAGAAGGAGGAGGGGCTTGGTGTCTGTGGAGAGGGAAGGTAAACAGCACAGAAGGAGGAGGGGCTTGGTGTCTGTGGAGAGGGAAGGTAAACAGCACAGAAGGAGGAGGGGCTTGGTGTCTGTGGAGAGGGAAGGTAAACAGCACAGAAGGAGGAGGGGCTTGGTGTCTGTGGAGAGGGAAGGTAAACAGCACAGAAGGAGGAGGGGCTTGGTGTCTGTGGAGAGGGAAGGTAAACAGCACAGAAGGAGGAGGGGCTTGGTGTCTGTGTGAGAGGGAAGGTAAACAGCACAGAAGGAGGAGGGGGCTTGGTGTCTGTGAGAGGGAAGGTAAACAGCACAGAAGGAGGAGGGGCTTGGTGTCTGTGGAGAGGGAAGGTAAACAGAAGGAGGAGGGGCTTGGTGTCTGTGAGAGGGAAGGTAAACAGCACAGAAGGAGGAGGGGCTTGGTGTCTGTGGAGAGGGAAGGTAAACAGAAGGAGGAGGGGCTTGGTGTCTGTGAGAGGGAAGGTAAACAGCACAGAAGGAGGAGGGGCTTGGTGTCTGTGGAGAGGGAAGGTAAACAGCACAGAAGGAGGAGGGGCTTGGTGTCTGTGAGAGGGAAGGTAAACAGCACAGAAGGAGGAGGGGCTTGGTGTCTGTGGAGAGGGAAGGTAAACAGCACAGGAGGAGGAGGGGCTTGGTGTCTGTGGAGAGGGAAGGTAAACAGCACAGAAGGAGGAGGGGCTTGGTGTCTGTGGAGAGGGAAGGTAAACAGGACAGAAGGAGGAGGGGCTTGGTGTCTGTGGAGAGGGAAGGTAAACAGCACAGGAGGAGGAGGGGCTTGGTGTCTGTGGAGAGGGAAGGTAAACAGCACAGAAGGAGGAGGGGCTTGGTGTCTGTGGAGAGGGAAGGTAAACAGCACAGAAGGAGGAGGGGCTTGGTGTCTGTGGAGAGGGAAGGTAAACAGCACAGGAGGAGGAGGGGCTTGGTGTCTGTGGAGAGGGAAGGTAAACAGCACAGAAGGAGGAGGGGCTTGGTGTCTGTGGAGAGGGAAGGTAAACAGCACAGAAGGAGGAGGGGCTTGGTGTCTGTGGAGATGGAAGGTAAACAGCACAGAAGGAGGAGGGGCTTGGTGTCTGTGAGAGGGAAGGTAAACAGCACAGAAGGAGGAGGGGCTTGGTGTCTGTGGAGAGGGAAGGTAAACAGCACAGAAGGAGGAGGGGCTTGGTGTCTGTGAGAGGGAAGGTAAACAGCACAGAAGGAGGAGGGGCTTGGTGTCTGTGGAGAGGGAAGGTAAACAGTACAGAAGGAGGAGGGGCTTGGTGTCTGTGGAGAGGGAAGGTAAACAGCACAGAAGGAGGAGGGGCTTGGTGTCTGTGTAGAGGGAAGGTAAACAGGACAGAAGGAGGAGGGGCTTGGTGTCTGTGGAGAGGGAAGGTAAACAGCACAGAAGGAGGAGGGGCTTGGTGTCTGTGGAGAGGGAAGGTAAACAGCACAGAAGGAGGAGGGGCTTGGTGTCTGTGGAGAGGGAAGGTAAACAGCACAGAAGGAGGAGGGGCTTGGTGTCTGTGGAGAGGGAAGGTAAACAGTACAGAAGGAGGAGGGGCTTGGTGTCTGTGGAGAGGGAAGGTAAACAGCACAGAAGGAGGAGGGGCTTGGTGTCTGTGGAGATGGAAGGTAAACAGCACAGAAGGAGGAGGGGCTTGGTGTCTGGAGAGGGAAGGTAAACAGGACAGAAGGAGGAGGGAGGCGAGACCAAAAAGACAAACGTTCATAAAAAACAGAAAAAAACCTTGATTGTTGCACTATAACATGAATTTGAATTGTTGTGTGTTTTTAGGTGTGTTGTTGGTAAGATTCTGATCCCGGTGGGGCCTGGTGAGGCTAACAGCGGCAGAGTGGAGGGAGGAGTGAGAGGACCAGGATCACCAAAACCTGCAGGGTGAGCCTTTAGAATAATCAACCAATATATAGGGTGCCATTTGGGACACATCCAGAGTCGTATGAATCTAACATACCTCTCTCCCTCCCAGTCAGAGTGACTCTAACATACCTCTCTCTCTCCCAGTCAGAGTGAATCTAACATACCTCTCTCTCTCCCTGTCAGTGAATCTAACATACCTCTCTCTCCCTGTCATAGTGACTCTAACATACCTCTCTCTCCCTGTCAGAGTGACTCTAACATACCTCTCTCTCCCAGTCAGAGTGACTCTAACATACCTCTCTCTCCCTGTCAGAGTGACTCTAACATACCTCTCTCTCTCCCTGTCAGAGTGACTCTAACATACCTCTCTCTCCCTGTCAGAGTGACTCTAACATACCTCTCTCTCTCCCAGTCAGAGTGACTCTAACATACCTCTCTCTCTCCCTGTCAGAGTGACTCTAACATACCTCTCTCTCCCACAGTCAGAGTGACTCTAACATACCTCTCTCTCTCCCTGTCAGTGACTCTAACATACCTCTCTCTCCCACAGTCAGAGTGACTCTAACATACCTCTCTCTCTCCCAGTCAGAGTGACTCTAACATACCTCTCTCTCTCCCTGTCAGTGACTCTAACATACCTCTCTCTCTCCCTGTCAGAGTGACTCTAACATACCTCTCTCTCTCCCTGTCAGAGTGACTCTAACATACCTCTCTCTCCCACAGTCAGAGTGACTCTAACATACCTCTCTCTCTCCCTGTCAGAGTGACTCTAACATACCTCTCTCTCTCCCTGTCAGAGTGACTCTAACATACCTCTCTCTCTCCCTGTCAGTGACTCTAACATACCTCTCTCTCTCCCAGTCAGAGTGACTCTAACATACCTCTCTCTCACCCTGTCAGAGTGACTCTAACATACATCTCTCTCTCCCAGTCAGAGTGACTCTAACATACCTCTCTCTCCCCCAGTCAGAGTGAATCTAACATACCTCTCTCTCTCCCTCCAAGTCAGAGTGACTCTAACATACCTCTCTCTCTCCCAGTCAGAGTGACTCTAACATACCTCTCTCTCACCCTGTCAGAGTGACTCTAACATACCTCTCTCTCTCCCAGTCAGAGTGACTCTAACATACCTCTCTCTCCCCCAGTCAGAGTGACTCTAACATACCTCTCTCTCTCCCTGTCAGAGTGACTCTAACATACCTCTCTCTCTCCCTGTCAGTGAATCTAACATACCTCTCTCTCTCCCTGTCAGAGTGACTCTAACATACCTCTCTCTCTCCCTGTCAGAGTGACTCTAACATACCTCTCTCTCCCTGTCAGAGTGACTCTAACATACCTCTCTCTCTCCCTCCAAGTCAGAGTGACTCTAACATACCTCTCTCTCTCCCTGTCAGTGACTCTAACATACCTCTCTCTCTCCCTGTCAGAGTGACTCTAACATACCTCTCTCTCCCCCAGTCAGAGTGAATCTAACATACCTCTCTCTCCCAGTCAGAGTGACTCTAACATACCTCTCTCTCCCTGTCAGAGTGACTCTAACATACCTCTCTCTCTCCCTGTCAGAGTGACTCTAACATACCTCTCTCTCCCAGTCAGAGTGACTCTAACATACCTCTCTCTCCCTGTCAGAGTGACTCTAACATACCTCTCTCTCTCCCAGTCAGAGTGACTCTAACATACCTCTCTCTCCCCCAGTCAGAGTGAATCTAACATACCTCTCTCTCACCCTGTCAGAGTGACTCTAACATACCTCTCTCTCTCCCAGTCAGAGTGACTCTAACATACCTCTCTCTCACCCTGTCAGAGTGACTCTAACATACCTCTCTCTCTCCCTGTCAGAGTGACTCTAACATACCTCTCTCTCCCCCAGTCAGAGTGACTCTAACATACCTCTCTCTCTCCCAGTCAGAGTGACTCTAACATACCTCTCTCTCTCCCTGTCAGAGTGACTCTAACATACCTCTCTCTCTCCCTGTCAGTGAATCTAACATACCTCTCTCTCTCCCTGTCAGAGTGACTCTAACATACCTCTCTCTCTCCCTGTCAGAGTGACTCTAACATACCTCTCTCTCCCTGTCAGAGTGACTCTAACATACCTCTCTCTCTCCCTCCAAGTCAGAGTGACTCTAACATACCTCTCTCTCTCCCTGTCAGAGTGACTCTAACATACCTCTCTCTCTCCCTGTCAGAGTGACTCTAACATACCTCTCTCTCCCCCAGTCAGAGTGAATCTAACATACCTCTCTCTCCCAGTCAGAGTGACTCTAACATACCTCTCTCTCCCTGTCAGAGTGACTCTAACATACCTCTCTCTCTCCCTGTCAGAGTGACTCTAACATACCTCTCTCCCTCCCAGTCAGAGTGACTCTAACATACCTCTCTCTCCCCCAGTCAGAGTGACTCTAACATACCTCTCTCCCTCCCAGTCAGAGTGACTCTAACATACCTCTCTCTCTCCCTGTCAGATTGAAGCCTAAAGCAGAGGTCCACATGACCATGGTGGCTCCTCCAATCCAAATCATGGCTGCAGTGGAGGCTCCACCTTCCCAGGGAGGAGGGGAGCAGCAGGCGGTGTCCTCCCCAGCCCAGCAGCACCTATCCCAGGCTATCCCCTCCAGGCTGCTGGCCCCCCCTGGTCCGCCACCCCCGTCCCAGCCCAGCTCCTCTGCCCTGCCGGCTGCCATGGCCGTGACACCCCCCGGCCCCGCCTCCATGGCCAATACAGTCGCCTCCCCCACCCAGCCCGCAGCCAGTAGCACGGCAGCATGCAGCGGCGGCGGCTCCGCCCACACAGAGGTCAAGATCAAGCAGGAGGCAGAGTCTATGGAGATGTGTCAACCAGGTAACTATGGTAAAGTGTATATGTTTCTTTCCCATAATACCTCACGTCCTTTCTCCTTGCCTGTAGTCCCTCCTCTTGGACCTTCTTCTCCGATGCGTTTTGAGAAGAGGGCGAAGAGAGGATGTGAGGTAGGGGTTGTAACAATTTTTTTTACGATCGCGTCATCTAGCGACGATGGTGACGGATGTTGACCTTGGATGACGACAAACTCTCTGTCTGGCTCACCGTTTTAAAATCTTCATTTCCCTTTTTCTCCCTAATCCCCGTTTTAGATTTGAATGTGACCTGTTGGCCTAGGCATAGCCTCCTCTTTCATGATCAACCTTCGAATGAATCTAATAGGCCTAACGCAGTTCCATCTCAGGAAGTTATTAGTGAATAGCCTGAACAAAAACCTAATATAGTAATAATAAGAGGGAGAACAAACCTATTGCAAGATGGACTAATCCAATAGGAAGTTTAAACAAACCTGACACGTTTCTGCTTTACGTGAACAACGTGTAAGCAGTATAAATTGTGCCGTCATACAATCCCTCCTGGCAACCCCAAACAGCCAATAAAAATAGGCTACTGTCAGGAGAACAAGAAATACATTAAGGATGAGTCGGTGTTGTCTCACAAACAACAAGAATCAGATAATAATTTGTTTTATTTAGCCTATAACATTCTTTCTAACACTTGAATGAACATTGGCTTTATGCTAAACACTAAAAGGTATATTATTCTTAGGCTATGCCTTTTGCCTATCGAAGTTAAGGCTGAAATTAAAGATCTCAGAAATGTTCCATACACACATTTGTTTACATCCCTGTTAGTGAGCATTTCTCCTTTGCCAAGATAATCCATCCACTTGACAGGTGTAGCATATCAAGAAGCTGATTAAACAGCATGATCATTACACAGGTGCACCTTGTGCTGGGGACAATTCAAGGCCACTTTAAAATGTGCAGTTTTGTCACACAACACAATGCCACAGATATATATAAAAAAACTCTAAAATGTGCAGTTTTGGCATGCTGACTGCAGGAATGTCAACCAGAGCTTTTGCCATATGCCGCCTCCAACGTTGTTTTATAGAATTTGGCAGTACATCCAACGGGCCTCAACCGCAGACCACGTGTAACCACGCCAGCCCAGGACCTCCACATCCAGCTTCTTCACCTGCGGGATCGTCTGAGACCAGCCACCCGGACAGCTGATGAAACTGTGGGTTTGCAGAACCCGAAGAATTTCTGCACAAACTGTCAGAAACCGTCTCAGGGAAGCTCATCTGCGTGCTCATCGTCCTCACCAAGGGTCTTGACCTGACTGCAGTTCTGCGTCGTAAATCGACTTCAGTGGGCAAATGTTCTCCTTCGATGGCCACTGGCACGCTGGAGAAGTGTGCTCTTCACAGATGAATCCCGGTTTCAACTGTACCGGACAGATGGCAGACCGCATGTTTGCTGATGTCAGTGTAGTGAACAGTGTGCCCAATGGTGGGGTTATGGTATGGGCAGGCATAAGCTACGGACAATTAACACAATTGCATTTTATCGATGGCAATTTGAATACACAGAGATACCATGATGAGATCCTGAGGCCCCATTGTCGTGCCATTCATCCGCCGCCATCACCTCATGTTTCAGCTTGATAATGCACGGCCCCATGTCGCAAGGATCTGTACACAATTCCTGGAAGCTGAAAATGTCCCAGTTCTTCCATGGCCTGCCTACTCACCAGACATATTCCAGTACCCGCCAATATCCAGCAACTTCGCACAGCCATTGAAGAGGAGTGGGACAACGTTCCACAGGCCACAATCAACAGCCTGATCAACTCTATGCAAAGGAGATGTGTCGCCTTGCATGAGGCAAATTGTGGTCACACCAGATACTGACTGGTTTTATGATCCATGCCCCTACCTTTTTTTGTAAAAGGTATCTGTGACCAACAGATGCATATCTGTATTCCCAGTCATGTGAAATCCATAGATTAGGACCTAATTTATTTATTTCAATTGACTGATTTCCTCATATGAACTGTAACTCGGTAAAATCTTTGAAGTTGTTGTCGTTTTGTTCATGTTCAGTGTATTTATAACATTCTTTATCTGCGGCCAAGCCCTTCGCCAAACCATTAAGACAACATCAGGTGCTGCAAAAGGAGTAGCCAATGGCTCTGGCTGAAGAGGGAAAGACCCCAGCTGGGCCCCAAAGCGACCGGGGAGAAAACTAGACAGGTACAGCGGGAGTTAGTGTTGAGCCATTTTGAGATGTCGTGGGCTCATCAATGAAACATTAAGGATGGAAGGTGCCCACTTGAAAACCTCAATGCTGTATCTGCTCTGTCCCTATTCGTTTCTCAACACCGGAGCATGTTTTTTTCTTTTTTCGGTTAATGCTCATGATCTTGCACAAGGGATTTTGTATTTGTATTTATTAGCTGTCAGTCCAATGCTGAACCAGTATGTTGGAGACACCCACCAATGGCTACGAACATAACTAAATAAAAATACCCCTTGAGTCTGCGAGAGCAGAAGATGATTCATCAATGGATAACACGGTTACAGAGCAGAAGACGATTCATCAATGGATAACACGGTTACAGAGCAGAAGATGATTCATCAATGGATAACACGGTTACAGAGCAGAAGATGATTCATCAATGGATAACACGGTTACAGAGCAGAAGATGATTCATCAATGGATAACACGGTTACAGAGCAGAAGATGATTCATCAATGGATAACACGGTTACAGAGCAGAAGATGATTCATCAATGGATAACACGGTTACAGAGCAGAAGATGATTCATCAATGGATAACACGGTTACAGAGCAGAAAAAAAGGAACACAAAAGACTAGGGAGGAAGAAGAGAACTTTACAAGAAAATCAACAACCGGTTTGTTCCTGCGGCTGGAAGAAAGAAAGTAACATCTTCAAAGGGCTTGAAAATACGCCAAGGAAAGAAAAGTTTATTGGAGGGCGAAACAGGGACTGTTGGAAAAGCATTCCAGGTGAAGCTGGTTGAGAGAATGCCAAGAGTGTGCAAAGCTGTCATCAAGGCAAAGGGTGGCTATTTGAAGAATATCAAATATATTTTGATTTAACACTTTTTTGGATACTACATGATTCTATATGCGTTATTTCATAGTTTTGATGTCTTCACTGTTATTCTACAATGTAGAAAATAGTAAAAAATTAAGAAAAACCCTGGAATGAGTTGGTGTGTCCAACCTTTTGACTGGTACTGTACATTATTTTTTTTATTTTTTTACATGAAGGCAGGGTAAAGTGACTAGTCATCAGGATAGATAATAAGGTATTTGAGGTGGGGCGGCAGGTAGCTTAGTGGTTAAGAGCGTTGTGCCAGTAACCGAAAGGTCGCTGGTTCTAATCCCCGAGCCGACTAGGTGAAAAACCTGTCGATGTGCCCTTGAGCAAGGCACTTAACCCTAATTGCTCCTGTAAGTCGCTCTGGATAAGAGCGTCTGCTAAATGACCAATTTATTTATTTATTTATATGTACATGAAGGCAGGGTAAAGTGACTGACTAGGCATCAGGATAGATAATAATAATAATAAGGTATTTGAGGTAGATATGTACAGTGAGGGAAAAAAGTATTTGATCCCCTGCTGATTTTGTACGTTTGCCCACTGACAAAGAAATTATCAGTCTATAATTTTAATGGTAGGTTTATTTGAACAGTGAGAGACAGAATAACAACAACAAAATCCAGAAAAACGCATGTCAAAAATGTTATAAATTGATTTGCATTTTAATGAGGGAAATAAGTATTTAACCCCCTCTCAATCAGAAAGATTTCTGGCTCCCAGGTGTCTTTTATACAGGTAACGAGCTGAGATTAGGAACACACTCTTAAAGGGAGTGCTCCTAATCTCAGCTTGTTACCTGTATAAAAGACACCTGTCCACAGAAGCAATCAATCAATCAGATTCCAAACTCTCCACCATGGCCAAGACCAAAGAGCTCTCCAAGGATGTCAGGGACAAGATTGTAGACCTACACAAGGCTGGAATGGGCTACAAGACTATCGCCAAGCAGCTTGGTGAGAAGGTGACAACAGTTGGTGTGATTATTCGCAAATGGAAGAAACACAAAAGTACTGTCAATCTCCCTCGGCCTGAGGCTCTGTGCAAGATCTCACCTCGTGGAGTTGCAATGATCATGAGAACGGTGAGGAATCAGCCCAGAACTACACGGGAGGATCTTGTCAATGTTCTCAAGGCAGCTGGGACCATAGTCACCAAGAAAACAATTGGTAACACACTACGCCGCGAAGGACTGAAATCCTGCAGCGCCCGCAAGGTCCCCCTGCTCAAGAAAGCACATATACAGGGCCGTCTGAAGTTTGCCAATGAACATCTGAATGATTCAGGGGAGAACAGGGTGAAAGTGTTGTGGTCAGATGAGACCAAAATGGAGCTCTTTGGAATCAACTCAACTCGCCGTGTTTGGAGGAGGAATGCTGCCTATGACCCCAAGAACACCATCCCCACTGTCAAACATGGAGGTGAAAACATTATGCTTTGGGGGTGTTTTTCTGGTAAGGGGACAGGACAACTTCACCACATCAAAGGGACGATGGACGGGGCCATGTACCATCAAATCTTGGGTGAGAACCTCCTTCCCTCAGCCAGGGCATTGAAAATGGGTTGTGGATGGGTATTCCAGCATGACAATGACCCAAAACACACGGCTAAGGCAACAAAGGAGTGGCTCAAGAAGAAGCACATTAAGGTCCTGGAGTGGCCTAGCCAGTCTCCAGACCTTAATCCATAGAAAATCTGTGGAGGGAGCTGAAGGTTCGAGTTGCCAAACGTCAGGCTCAAAACCTTAATTACTTGGAGAATATCTGCAAAGAGGAGTGGAACAAAATCCCTCCTGAGATGTGTGCAAACCTGGTGGCCAACTACAAGAAACGTCTGACCTCTGTGATTGCCAACAAGGGTTTTGCCACCAAGTACTAAGTCATGTTTTGCAGAGGGGTCAAATACTTATTTCCCTCATTAAAATGCAAATCAATTCATAATATTTTTGCCTTGCATTTTTCTGGATTTCTTTGTTGTTATTCTGTCTCTCACTGTTCAAATAAACCTACCATTAAATTATAGACTGATAATTTCTTTGTCAGTGGGCAAACGTACAAAATCAGCAGGGGATCAAATACTTTTTTCCCTCACTGTACATGAAGGCAGGGTAAAGTGACTAGGCATCAGGATAGATAATAATAAGGTATTTGAGGTAGATATGTACATGAAGGCAGGGTAAAGTGACTAGGCATCAGGATATATAATAATAAGGTATTTGAGGTAGATATGTACATGAAGGCAGGGTAAAGTGACTAGGCATCAGGATAGATAATAATAAGGTATTTGAGGTAGATATGTACATGAAGGCAGGGTACAGTGACTAGGCATCAGGATAGATAATAATAAGGTATTTGAGCTAGATATGTACATGAAGGCAGGGTAAAGTAACTGTGTGTCAGTGGAGATAGTTAATGAACTATTTAGCAGTATGGCTATTTAGCAGTCTTGTTGGGGGTAGAAGCTGTCTCAGAGCATGTTGGTCTGAGAGCCGGCACTCCGGTACCGTTTGTCAGATGGTAGCAGAGTGAACAGTCTATGGCTTGGGTGGCTGGAGTCTTTGGCAATTTTTCAGGCCTTCCTCTGACACCGCCTGGTATAGAGGTCCTGGATGGCAGGGAGCTCGGCCCCAGTGACGTACTGGTCTGTCCTGGTATAGAGGTCCTGGATGGCAGGGAGCTCGGCCCCAGTGACGTACTGGTCTGTCCTGGTATAGAGGTCCCTCTGTAGCGCTTTGCGGTCAGTTCAGGAGGTAGGTTGAGATAGAACCCCTAATCTGTGAGAGGAGGTAGGTTGAGATAGAACCCCTAATCTGGGAGAGGAGGCAGGTTGAGAATGAACCCCTAATCTGGGAGAGGAGGCAGGTTGAGAATGAACCCCTAATCTGGGAGAGAAGGTAGGTTGAGATAGAACCCCTAATCTGGGAGAGGAGGCAGGTTGAGAATGAACCCCTAATCTGGGAGAGGAGGTGGGTTGAGGTAGAACCCCTAATCTGGGAGAGGAGGTAGGTTGAGATAGAACCCCTAATCTGGGAGAGGAGGAAGGTTGAGAATGAACCCCTAATCTGTGAGAGGAGGTAGGTTGAGATAGAACCCCTAATCTGGGAGAGGAGGCAGGTTGAGATAGAACCCCTAATCTGGGAGAGGAGGTAGGTTGAGATAGAACCCCTAATCTGGGAGAGGAGGCATGTTGAGATAGAACCCCTAATCTGGGAGAGGAGGCAGGTTGAGATAGAACCCCTAATCTGGGAGAGGAGGCAGGTTGAGATAGAACCCCTAATCTGGGAGAGGAGGTAGGTTGAGATAGAACGCCTAATCTGGGAGAGGAGGCAGGTTGAGATAGAACCCCTAATCTGGGAGAGGAGGCAGGTTGAGATAGAACCCCTAATCTGGGAGAGGAGGCAGGTTGAGATAGAACCCCTAATCTGGGAGAGGAGGCAGGTTGAGATAGAACCCCTAATCTGGGAGAGGAGGCATGTGAAGAAGCAGTGGAGGAAGGCTTTTACAAAGTGAGGTGGGAATGAAAGGAACAACTTCATATTCATCATCTCCAGCACCACCCCAACATCAACATTTGTTGCACGTTTGTGTTTTGTAGCAAAAAAAAAGATGGAGGAAGATAAGTGTTTTCAAGACATCATCAACCAATTAGTAGACAATTGGTAGTGTTAGATTCAAAATAACCAGAGTAAAAAACCGTATGGACGCCGAGTAAAGCTCAAACCAAGTTTATTCTCCCACTGGGTCACACAGCTACACAGACAAAAACATATTCACACAAGCGCTGATATTTAACCCTTCCTATGCGGAGTCTCCTCCTCACACATCTGGTCAGCCAATACATCTCTGTTGCTAGGCAGAACTTTAGTGGTGACTGTTCTTTCTCACTTTATCTGACCTGACCTCGGCCCGAATTCCTCAATCCTCCCCAACTCAGAGCTGTCCTGTTGACTTGTACCAATCTGTGCCCCTCCTCTTTCTCTTAGGATCCCTGATGTCTAACAACAACATGTTCTGACAGTACTGCATTCCTCTCTCTCCCTCTGTGACATGATTAAGGATGTTTTCAAGTTTCTAAGTCAGAACCCATCAGTAGGCAATGCCAACTTTTATAATTGGTTAAAATCACACCGATGCGCACCGATGTGTTACGTTCCCCAGCAAGATAACCAAAATCAAAAATGTCGCTCAAACAGAAGGGGGATGTCACGAACGTCGTATGAAGGAGTGGACCAAAGCGCAGCGTTAGTAGCGAACATACTTGCTTTATTTAATTAAAGCATACACACGAAATAACAAAACAATAAACGACTCGTGAAGTCCTCAGTGACAATGACCGAACACGGAACAAAAACCCACAAACACAAAGTGAAACACAGACAGTTAAATATGGCTCCCAATCAGAGACAACCAGCACACAGCTGACACCCGTTGCCTCTGATTGGGAGTCACTCAGTCAAACATAGAAATAAACAACCTAGAACACCCAACATAGAAACAGAACACATAGAATGAACACACCCTGGCTCAACAAATAGAGTCCCAGAGCCAGGGTGTGACAGGGGAGCTAACCAAGAGTCACTGACCAACAACCAAAACGAAACAGGTGGGGTTTTAGGAGGGGTTCTGAAAGACACTCATGGGGGTGTCCACTGAAGGTTGACCAGCGACAACAACTGGGACCTAAAAGACGACCACCATGAGCGCCCACTAAATTTGGCAAACAAAGGAAAAACCCCACATCAAACTTAAAGACAGGAAGCAAACCAAAAAAGCCAACTATAAAGGCGTTAACCCTCCACATCTCTCAAGACAGCTGGAGCGCTGGGCCAGCCACTCTTAAATAGCACCTGGGCCAGCACAGGTGAAACACCTTCCCAGGGTGAAAGTAGATGTCATTTCTTACTTGTGCGGGACACGTGTGCTCACACATTATTTTTTTTATACTACAAAAATTACAGAGTAGCCTACTCTGCTGACACCTGGCAAACAGATCAATAAAACCGATGTTGTCTGATCCATATAATCGGCCTACGAAAATGAGAGACACAAATACTATACTAACAACCTGGAAGAGGAAATTATTGTCCAAAAACAAACAAAAGTGGCACCAATGATAAAGACGGTGAATATGCACACTATCCGGGGATATGGACGGTGTTCTCGCTGATGCCAATAAGGCTACTGTTCACTCAATTAAGTTAAGAATTTTGATAACTAAATGATAGATTGGAGTATTTTCATCGTCATCTCTTTACAGCAGTAGCCATTTGCTTTCCAAACGGGGGGGGGGGGGGGGGGGGGGGGGGGTGGGGGGGGCTCATGTGCCTCATGCAGCAAATGTTAGTGCATCGAATCGCATCGTTTCGTTCCTCTAATGAAACCGAATCGTTTCAAACTAAACGTATCGTTCCTGTATCGTATCGGAGCCCATGTATCTAGATATGTATCGAATCATCTTGAAAGGGAAAGATGCACATCCCTAGTTGAGTTTGACCATGTCTCAGGCCTACCTTAAGGTTTCTGTTCACCTTTTCTTCCCCAGAGTAGCGAACTCAGCAGGACGGTGGAGGTTTGTAGTCTGTCCGTCCTTTGCCCTGATCATCTTTTTGCATATTCTGCAAGTGACTTGTCGCGTCTTCTTGCTCACATTTGTCATTAGGCCTGAAAACGAAAAACTATTAAACAGACATGATTTTCTTTCCCACAAAGTCAGCCATAGTTTTTTTCCAGATTTAACTAAGGCAGGCTACACTATAGTTACTAAGTGAAGGCAGGCTATTCTATAGTTACTAAGTGAAGGCAGGCTATTCTATAGTTACTAAGTGGAGGCAGGCTACACTATAGTTACTAAGTGAAGGCAGGCTATTCTATGGTTACTAAGTGAAGGCAGGCTACTCTATAGTTACTAAGTGAAGGCAGGCTATTCTATAGTTACTAAGTGAAGGCAGACTACACTAGAGTTACTAAGTGAAGGCAGGCTACACTAGAGTTACTAAGTGAAGGCAGGCTATTCTATAGTTACTAAGTGAAGGCAGGCTATTCTATAGTTACTAAGTGAAGGCAGGCTATTCTATAGTTACTAAGTGAAGGCAGGCTACTCTATAGTTACTAAGTGAAGGCAGACTACACTATAGTTGCTAAGTGAAGGCAGGCTATTCTATAGTTACTAAGTGAAGGCAGGCTACTCTATAGTTGCTAAGTGAAGGCAGACTACACTGGAGTTACTAAGTGAAGGCAGGCTATTCTATAGTTACTAAGTGAAGGCAGACTACTCTATAGTTACTAAGTGAAGGCAGGCTATTCTATAGTTACTAAGTGGAGGCAGGCTACACTATAGTTACTAAGTGAAGGCAGGCTATTCTATGGTTACTAAGTGAAGGCAGGCTACTCTATAGTTACTAAGTGAAGGCAGGCAATTCTATAGTTACTAAGTGAAGGCAGGCTACACTGGAGTTACTAAGTGAAGGCAGGCTATTCTATAGTTACTAAGTGAAGGCAGGCTATTCTATAGTTACTAAGTGAAGGCAGGCTATTCTATAGTTACTAAGTGAAGGCAGGCTACTCTATAGTTGCTAAGTGAAGGCAGACTACACTGGAGTTACTAAGTGAAGGCAGGCAATTCTATAGTTACTAAGTGAAGGCAGGCTACACTGGAGTTACTAAGTGAAGGCAGGCTACACTAGAGTTACTAAGTGAAGGCAGGCTATTCTATAGTTACTAAGTGAAGGCAGACTACACTAGAGTTACTAAGTGAAGGCAGGCTACACTAGAGTTACTAAGTGAAGGCAGGCTATTCTATAGTTACTAAGTGAAGGCAGGCTACTCTATAGTTACTAAGTGAAGGCAGGCTACTCTATAGTTACTAAGTGAAGGCAGACTACACTGGAGTTACTAAGTGAAGGCAGGCAATTCTATAGTTACTAAGTGAAGGCAGGCTACACTGGAGTTACTAAGTGAAGGCAGGCTATTCTATAGTTACTAAGTGAAGGCAGGCTACTCTATAGTTACTAAGTGAAGGCAGGCTATTCTATAGTTACTAAGTGAAGGCAGGCTACACTGGAGTTACTAAGTGAAGGCAGGCTATTCTAGAGTTACTAAGTGAAGGCAGGCTACTCTATAGTTACTAAGTGAAGGCAGGCTATTCTATTGTTACTAAGTGAAGGCAGACTACACTAGAGTTACTAAGTGAAGGCAGACTACACTAGAGTTACTAAGTGAAGGCAGGCTACACTAGAGTTACTAAGTGAAGGCAGGCTATTCTATAGTTACTAAGTGAAGGCAGGCTACTCTATAGTTACTAAGTGAAGGCAGGCTATTATATAGTTACTAAGTGAAGGCAGGCTATTATATAGTTACTAAGTGAAGGCAGGCTATTCTATAGTTACTAAGTGAAGGCAGGCTACTCTATAGTTACTAAGTGAAGGCAGGCAATTCTATAGTTACTAAGTGAAGGCAGACTACACTGGAGTTACTAAGTGAAGGCAGGCAATTATATAGTTACTAAGTGAAGGCAGGCTACACTGGAGTTACTAAGTGAAGGCAGGCTATTCTATAGTTACTAAGTGAAGGCAGGCTACTCTGTAGTTACTAAGTGAAGGCAGGCAATTCTATAGTTACTAAGTGAAGGCAGACTACACTGGAGTTACTAAGTGAAGGCAGGCAATTCTATAGTTACTAAGTGAAGGCAGGCTACACTGGAGTTACTAAGTGAAGGCAGGCTATTCTATAGTTACTAAGTGAAGGCAGGCTACTCTATAGTTACTAAGTGAAGGCAGGCTATTCTATAGTTACTAAGTGAAGGCAGACTACACTGGAGTTACTAAGTGAAGGCAGGCTATTCTATAGTTACTAAGTGAAGGCAGGCTACACTGGAGTTACTAAGTGAAGGCAGGCTATTCTATAGTTACTAAGTGAAGGCAGGCTACTCTATAGTTACTAAGTGAAGGCAGGCTATTCTATAGTTACTAAGTGAAGGCAGGCTACACTAGAGTTACTAAGTGAAGGCAGACTACACTAGAGTTACTAAGTGAAGGCAGGCTACACTAGAGTTACTAAGTGAAGACAGGCTATTCTATAGTTACTAAGTGAAGGCAGGCTACTCTATAGTTACTAAGTGAAGGCAGGCTACTCTATAGTTACTAAGTGAAGGCAGGCTACACTAGAGTTACTAAGTGAAGGCAGGCTACACTAGAGTTACTAAGTGAAGGCAGGCTATTCTATAGTTACTAAGTGAAGGCAGGCTATTCTATAGTTACTAAGTGAAGGCAGGCTATTCTATAGTTACTAAGTGAAGGCAGGCTACTCTATAGTTACTAAGTGAAGGCAGGCAATTCTATAGTTACTAAGTGAAGGCAGACTACACTGGAGTTACTAAGTGAAGGCAGGCTATTCTATAGTTACTAAGTGAAGGCAGGCTACTCTATAGTTACTAAGTGAAGGCAGGCAATTCTATAGTTACTAAGTGAAGGCAGACTACTCTGGAGTTACTAAGTGAAGGCAGGCTATTCTATAGTTACTAAGTGAAGGCAGGCTACTCTATAGTTTCTAAGTGAAGGCAGACTACACTGGAGTTACTAAGTGAAGGCAGGCTACACTATAGTTACTAAGTGAAGGCAGGCTACTCTATAGTTACTAAGTGAATGCAGGCTACACTGGAGTTACTAAGTGAAGGCAGGCTACTCTATAGTTACTAAGTGAAGGCAGGCAATTCTATAGTTACTAAGTGAAGGCAGACTACACTGGAGTTACTAAGTGAAGGCAGGCAATTCTATAGTTACTAAGTGAAGGCAGGCTACACTGGAGTTACTAAGTGAAGGCAGGCTATTCTATAGTTACTAAGTGAAGGCAGGCTACTCTATAGTTACTAAGTGAAGGCAGGCAATTCTATAGTTACTAAGTGAAGGCAGGCTACACTGGAGTTACTAAGTGAAGGCAGGCTATTCTATAGTTACTAAGTGAAGGCAGGCTACACTGGAGTTACTAAGTGAAGGCAGGCTACACTAGAGTTACTAAGTGAAGGCAGGCTATTCTATAGTTACTAAGTGAAGGCAGGCTATTCTATAGTTACTAAGTGAAGGCAGGCTATTCTATAGTTACTAAGTGAAGGCAGGCTACTCTATAGTTACTAAGTGAAGGCAGGCAATTCTATAGTTACTAAGTGAAGGCAGACTACACTGGAGTTACTAAGTGAAGGCAGGCTATTCTATAGTTACTAAGTGAAGGCAGGCTACTCTATAGTTACTAAGTGAAGGCAGGCAATTCTATAGTTACTAAGTGAAGGCAGACTACTCTGGAGTTTACTAAGTGAAGGCATGGCTATTCTATAGTTACTAAGTGAAGGCAGGCTACTCTATAGTTACTAAGTGAAGGCAGGCTATTCTATAGTTTCTAAGTGAAGGCAGACTACACTGGAGTTACTAAGTGAAGGCAGGCTACACTATAGTTACTAAGTGAAGGCAGGCTACACTATAGTTACTAAGTGAAGGCAGGCTACACTAGAGTTACTAAGTGAAGGCAGGCTACACTATAGTTACTAAGTGAAGGCAGGGTACTCTATAGTTACTAAGTGAATGCAGGCTACACTGGAGTTACTAAGTGAAGGCAGGGCTACTCTATAGTGTACTAAGTGAATGCAGGCAATTCTATAGTTACTAAGTGAAGGCAGACTAACACTGGAGTTACTAAGTGAAGGCAGGCAATTCTATAGTTACTAAGTGAAGGCAGACTACACTGGAGTTACTAAGTGAAGGCAGGCTATTCTATAGTTACTACGTGAAGGCAGACTACACTAGAGTTACTAAGTGAAGGCAGGCTACACTAGAGTTACTAATTGAAGGCAGGCTATTCTATAGTTACTAAGTGAAGGCAGGATATTCTATAGTTACTAAGTGAAGGCAGGCTATTCTATAGTTACTAAGTGAAGGCAGGCTATTCTATAGTTACTAAGTGAAGGCAGGCTACACTAGAGTTACTAAGTGAAGGCAGGCTACACTAGAGTTACTAAGTGAAGGCAGGCTACACTATAGTTACTAAGTGAAGGCAGGCTATTCTATAGTTACTAAGTGAAGGCAGGCTATTCTATAGTTACTAAGTGAAGGCTATTCTATAGTTACTAAGTGAAGGCAGGCTACACTATAGTTACTAAGTGAAGGCAGGCTATTATATAGTTACTAAGTGAAGGCAGGCTATTATATAGTTACTAAGTGAAGGCAGGCTATTCTATAGTTACTAAGTGAAGGCAGGCTACACTATAGTTACTAAGTGAAGGCAGGCTATTCTATAGTTACTAAGTGAAGGCAGGCTATTCTATAGTTACTAAGTGAAGGCAGGCTATTCTATAGTTACTAAGTGAAGGCAGGCTATTCTATAGTTACTAAGTGAAGGCAGGCTATTCTATAGTTACTAAGTGAAGGCTATTCTATAGTTACTAAGTGAAGGCAGGCTAGTCTATAGTTACTAAGTGAAGGATATTCTATAGTTACTAAGTAAAGGCTATTCTATAGTTACTAAGTGAAGGCAGGCTACACTATAGTTACTAAGTGAAGGCAGGCTACACTATAGTTACTAAGTGAAGGCAGGCTATTATATAGTTACTATGTGAAGGCATGCTATTCTATAGTTACTAAGTGAAGGCAGGCTACACTATAGTTACTACGTGAAGGCAGGCTACACTATAGTTACTAAGTGAAGGCAGGCTATTCTATAGTTACTAAGTGAAGGCAGGCTACACTATAGTTACTACGTGAAGGCAGGCTACACTATAGTTACTACGTGAAGGCAGGCTACACTATAGTTACTAAGTGAAGGCAGGCTATTATATAGTTACTAAGTGAAGGCAGGCTGTTCTATAGTTACTAAGTGAAGGCAGGCTACACTATAGATACTAAGTGAAGGCTACACTATAGTTACTAAGTTAAATCTCATCACATCCTTGTTTTTAACAGTCTGAAACTGTCTGAAAGCAGCCTAATGAAGAAAGAATGTTAGATGTGCTTACCCAGATGAAATAACAATAGCCTACACTTGATACGGCTAGAATATTAGTTTTTAAAAGGTAGGCTAATATAACTTATATCTGAGTATTTTAATGGACAAGAGAAATAGCCCTACCAATTTGAAAATCATTCTGCAGCCTAGACAAAAAAATAAATAGGCCTAATACTGTTTTGAACAATGATTTAATTAGATTGTTTGTGGCTTTGGTAACAATTTAAATAAGAATTACATTATGCATCAAATTATACTGTATATTGCGTTCTTCCCTGCTAATTCACCCCCTCCCCAAGACAAAAAAAAATAATGCAATCTCATATCAATGATGGGCCGATGTCATTCCAGACGTCGCCCCACCCTAATGTGAGGATTCCAGTAAAGATGAATTGACAAAGTTCCACAGTCCCATCTATCTTTCTTAAACAAGGAAGTAAAACTGGTTGACATACCTGTACTGTGATTTACATGTCTGTCTGTCTCCTCTCCTCAGTGCCCCAGCCCTCGGCGAACTCGGGCCTCAGCACCCACCTCCACCAAGCTGGGTCCCTCAATGGGGCTGCCTCCTCAGGGGACCTGGTCCCTGGTGCCTCCCCGAGGAAGAAGCCCCGCAAGCAGCAGCACGTCATCTCCACCGAGGAGACTGAGATGGTGGAGACCAACAGTACAGATGAGGACAGGGCTACAGGCCACAGGCCCCTGGGCAGCAGGGCTGAGAGGAGAGAGTCCCCTCCCAGGGAGTATGTGGGTGGGTGGTTAACCCTATGTTACACAGCTGCGCTCACCAGGGTGGGGTCAATTACATTTCAGTTCATTCCAATTCAGGAAGTAAAGTGAAATTCTAATTCTCCTTATTGAAAACACACTGAGTTATTTTTCCTTCTATACATTTGTAGCTCATTGCAAAACTTCAGAAATATGGTCTCTTTTTTAACCATGTTACGGTAGTAGAGCCCGGCGTTTGTAACGCCAAGGTAGTGGGTTCGATCCCCGGGAATGGCATATTAATATAATATTGCTGTATTCCGTCTCAGATGAGGAAGGGGTGCGTTACATCCCTGTCAGGCCACGCCCACCTGTCACTCTGCTGCGTCACTATAGGAACCCCTGGAAGGCAGCCTATCACCACTTCCAGAGGTACAGCGACATCCGGATCAAAGGTCAGTATTGGTCCAATCAGAACGCTGAACAAAAACTATGTCCTGATTTTCCTAATTTCTTACAACGCCCTTTTTTTCTATATCTTATCAAGAAGTATCCGGACATTAAATATGTTCTGGAACTCATTTTATCCTGCAAGTATAAGGTGTTATAAGCACGTGTGAGCCTTTCTAATGTCTTGTTATGAGGCTTTTAATATTATGTCTCTCTATGTATGTTACTATAAGTTATTTTACCCACTGGTGAGAACTATGGTTGTGTATTTCAGAGGAGAAGTTGTTATAAGCATGTATAAGCTTTTAGGTCCCGCTTTAAATGAAGTTCAGCTTATAAAGGCTTCATAAAGCCTTCATAAGCACTACATAAATGTGTTTACGAAGCATCTATAACTATGTCATGCTTTATAATGGGTTCATAAAATGTGTCATAACTGTGTGATATAATCACCAATGTCAAATATGACGTAACCCACTATGTTCGAATATGACATAAACATGTGCTTTACAAAGGGTGGCATGTTGGGTCGAAGGATTGGAATACGCTCTAAAATGAGGTAATGTTAGTCACATGACACCTCATCTCAGATGTGCGGAAGCTCTGGTGGACCAACGCATCAAACCAGGCCTTCATTAGTTACGGTTACGTTTAAAGTAACATTTTGTGGAAATGGGCAGGGTTTAGTAATGATTATGACTTTCTGACTGTGTTAACTAGTGACGACGACAAATCAAATCAAATCAAATTTTACATGCGCCGAATACAACAGGTGCAGACATTACAGTGAAATGCTTACTTACAGCCCTTAACCAACAGTGTATTTATTTTAAACAAAAAAAGTGTTGAGAAAAAAAGAGCAGAAGTAAAATAAAGTGACAGTAGGGAGGCTATATATACAGGGGGGTACCGTTGCAGAGTCAATGTGCGGGGGCACCGGCTAGTTGAGGTAGTTGAGGTAATATGTACATGTGGGTAGAGTTAAAGTGACTATGCATAAATACTTAACAGAGTAGCAGCAGCGTAAAAAGGATGGGGTGGGGGGGCAGTGCAAATAGTCCAGGTAGCCATGATTAGCTGTTCAGGAGTCTTATGGCTTGGGGGTAGAAGCTGTTGAGAAGTCTTTTACTCGTTAAGGTCACTCCCACAGAATTCTATTGTCACTCCCACCAAGGCCAACTTTGAATGGTTGATATCCCAGGCTTATACACGTAGTATACAAAACATGACACCGACTGACCAGGTGAAAGCTATGATCCCTTATTTGACGTCACTTGTTTAATCCACTTCAATCAGTGTAGATGAAGGGGAGGAGACAGGTTAAAATAATGATTTTTAAGCCTTGAGACAGTTGAGATATGGATTGTGTATGTGTGCCATTCAGAGGGTGAATGGGAAAGACAAAATATTGAAGTGCCTTTGAACTGGGTATGGTAGTAGGTGCCAGGCGCACCGGTTTGTGTCAAGAACTGCAACGCTGCTGGGTTTTTCCACGCTCAACAGTTTCCCGTGTGTATCAAGAATGGTCCACCACCCAAAGGACATCCAGCCAACTTGACAGAACTGTGGGAAGCATTGGAGTCAACATGGGGCCAGCATCCCTGTGGAACGCTTTTGACACCTTGTAGAGTCCATGACCCAACGAATTGAGGCTGTTCTGAGGCCAAAACACACACACACACACACACACACACAAGCTTTGAAGGTCCATCAACTCATTTAAATACGTCTCCCACCCTACAGTAACCCGTGGATCATGAGGACCTTCATAACATCAGCAGAACGCTTATAACCTATTTATTGACACATTATGTAGTGTCTTGTAATACTTAGTTTCACATCCATAAAGACTTTATATCTCATGACGTTTGTACTTCATTTAAAGTCAGACCCCCTTTGGTCATCTATAACACATTCGTAAAGCCTTAATGGTGTAAACACTTAGGGAATTATCACTTAACAGCTAAAACAAATCAACATTAGACATGTTTAAACCATTTCCTTTTTATTAAGTTTCAAAAAGTCCAGCAATGCAATTCCATTGAACATTACACAGGGCTGTGAATAGTGCAGCTTGTCCCTGAACTGGAGGACGAATGGTTCTTCACCTCTCTGTCTGCTGGAGGTTACTGGATGTTGGTTCCAACCTTTTAAAAGTAACAACAAAGAAAGTTAGCAGGTCTGTGAGGAAATGCCTTTGTCACACCATCTGGATAAGGGCGTTTCTGTGCTGCGCCAGAAACTCTAAATGGGGAGGGAGATGGGGAAACTCCATTCGATTCATATTATTACAATTCCTCTTTCATTTACAAATCTCATGATGTGACTGAGATGTGGATGTGTATCTACGTTTTTATTTTATTTAGCAGAGCCTGCTAGCTAGCTACGTTTCAGCTAGCTAGCGATAATTTGAAATAGCGACTGAGGTAGCTACAGTGTAATCTAATGCAACACTCAACTACTACAGACTCATTTAAATGACAGTAAATTAAGTTTAGCTTGTTTTTTCGCTGTCCGATTTGGCACCAAAATTGGGAATTTGATTTGCGAACTCATCACATGATCAGCAACACACCCCAAAAAATGTTTTACCTCCGTGTCACAGAATTTCAGAAATGTTCAAAATAAAAGTCCCCCACGTAATAGTATAAAATTGTCAGCAACCTGTAATTATTAATGATATATATGAATAATAATTGTCTAAACATTAACAATGATTCATATTTGTTCATATTGAAGTGACATTTGCATTAAATGTGGGTTTTAAAACATGTTCCAAGGTCATATAAATGCCCACAATGAAATCACTTTATATGGAATACATATTGGGTTATAGAGCAAAAACTGTTCTGGGCGCCGTAGTAAAAGTATTGTAGGGAAAACTCCGTAGGGTCTGTAGAATGTGTGTGTATATATGGTGTCATTTCAGGGGTCTCTGAATTATAGAGTGTTGCAGTCTTTTTACTTGACCCATTCCATTGGCGGCCACAATGCGAATCACTGTATATGGAGTAGGTTTAAAAAAAAAAAAAACACACCAACGTGTTTTACTGTGCATGACTGCACTTTAGTGTGTCATCCTGTAGCACAGCATTCTGGGGGAAGTTGAGGTCAGGTCTAAATTGACTATGCACCCAAGAAGGAAATGTTTTAGAGTAATATAATATATACAATTTAGCAGACGCTTTTATCCAAAAGCGACTCGAGTCATGTGTGAAATAAAAAATGTTACGTATGGGTGGTCCCGGGAATTGAACCCACTATCCTGGCGTTGCAATGCTCTACCAAGATGCATGATGGGTTATAAATGCTTTGTGAAGCCTTAATTTTAATATGATTTATAAGGTCTTTATTAAGCGGTGCTTATGCCACCCTTAATAAAGCACAGGTTTATGTCACATTTGACATAGTGGGTTATGTCACATTTGACATTGGTGGTTATGCCACATTTATGAACCATGACAAACGGTTATAGATGATATGTAATACATTTATGTAGTGTTTATGAATCCTTTATAAGCTGCACGTCATTTAAAGCGGGACCAGCTTGGTCATGTCTTATAACAAGGCTTTATGACATGTTCCAGAGGAGAAGGAGTCGCTGCAGGACATGGCGAACCAGAGAGGAGTAGCGTGTCGAGCTCAAGGATGGAAAATGCACCTGTGTGTTGCTCAGCTCATGCAGCTGGTGAGTCCCGATGGCCATAGATGTCTTCATTTCCATTGCAGCCACCAGAGGACATTTAGTGACATTTTAATTAGTGAAATATGTATTAATATTTTGGAGCTTGTATTATGCAGTACATATGTCAATGTTCCTTAATGTCTTGTTGAACCCTTTCGTCTTTCCCTGACCCCTGACCTCTGACCCATCTGACCCCTAGTCGAACCTGGAGCATGATGTATCTAGCATACTGACGTCACTCCAGGCTGACCTCTGACCCCTAGTCGAACCTGGAGCATGATGTATCTAGCATACTGACGTCACTCCAGGCTGACCTCTGACTGCTAACCTCTGACCCCTAGTCGAACCTGGAGCATGATGTATCTAGCATACTGACGTCCCTCCAGGCTGATCTCTGACCTCTGACCCCTAGTCGAACCTGGAGCATGATGTATCTAGCATACTGACGTCCCTCCAGGCTGATCTCTGACCTCTGACCCCTAGTCGAACCTGGAGCATGATGTATATAGCAGACTGACGTCCCTCCAGGCTGATCTCTGACCTCTGACCCCTAGTCGAACCTGGAGCATGATGTATATAGCAGACTGACGTCCCTCCAGGCTGATCTCTGACCTCTGACCCCTAGTCGAACCTGGAGCATGATGTATCTAGCATACTGACGTCACTCCAGGCTGACCTCTGACCCCTAGTCGAACCTGGAGCATGATGTATATAGCAGACTGACGTCCCTCCAGGCTGACCTCTGACCCCTAGTCGAACCTGGAGCATGATGTATATAGCAGACTGACGTCCCTCCAGGCTGATCTCTGACCTCTGACCCCTAGTCGAACCTGGAGCATGATGTATATAGCAGACTGACGTCACTCCAGGCTGACCTCTGACCCCTAGTCGAACCTGGAGCATGATGTATATAGCAGACTGACGTCACTCCAGGCTGACCTCTGACCCCTAGTCGAACCTGGAGCATGATGTATATAGCAGACTGACGTCCCTCCAGGCTGATCTCTGACCTCTGACCCCTAGTCGAACCTGGAGCATGATGTATATAGCAGACTGACGTCCCTCCAGGCTGATCTCTGACCTCTGACCCCTAGTCGAACCTGGAGCATGATGTATATAGCAGACTGACGTCCCTCCAGGCTGATCTCTGACCTCTGACCCCTAGTCGAACCTGGAGCATGATGTATATAGCAGACTGACGTCACTCCAGGCTGACCTCTGACCCCTAGTCGAACCTGGAGCATGATGTATATAGCAGACTGACGTCCCTCCAGGCTGATCTCTGACTGCTAACCTCTGACCCCTAGTCGAACCTGGAGCATGATGTATATAGCAGACTGACGTCCCTCCAGGCTGACCTCTGACCCCTAGTCGAACCTGGAGCATGATGTATATAGCAGACTGACGTCCCTCCAGGCTGATCTCTGACCTCTGACCCCTAGTCGAACCTGGAGCATGATGTATATAGCAGACTGACGTCCCTCCAGGCTGATCTCTGACCTCTGACCCCTAGTCGAACCTGGAGCATGATGTATATAGCAGACTGACGTCCCTCCGGGCTGATCTCTGACCCCTAGTCGAACCTGGAGCATGATGTATATAGCAGACTGACGTCCCTCCAGGCTGATCTCTGACCTCTGACCCCTAGTCGAACCTGGAGCATGATGTATATAGCAGACTGACGTCCCTCCAGGAGGGGCTAATCCCTAAGAAGAGGGCCGGGGTCGACGACGAGCTGCACCGCATCAACGAACTCATACAGGTGTGTGGGTCTAGTACCAAATACATCATATATGGCCTCCTGTAGCTCAGTTGGTAGAGCATGGCGCTTGCAACGCCAGGGTTGTGGGTTCGATTCCCACGGGGGGCCAGTATGATTTTTTTTTTATTAAAAAATGTATGCACTCACTAACTGTAAGTCGCTCTGGATAAGAGCGTCTGCTAAATGACTAAAATGTAAAATATAAGTTAACTCATACAGGTACATGGATTGTTTGAATGATTGGTTGATTCAGTGATTGATTGATTGGTTGAGTGTTTGATGACATTTATTGTCCTTCAAGAGGAAATCCTCACATGACAAAAGTCACAAGTTTGTTTATCACGGTCACAGTTTGAGTGGGGATCAATTTCAATGCATTTATTTTCTATACTCAATAGTGTGATACTTCTACGGTGTTGTCATGTAACTAACTGAATGTTGGTTCTGTGTGCAGGGTAACATGCAGCGCTGTAAACTGGTGATGGACCAGGTAACAGAGACCCGGGACACTATGATGAAAGTTCTGGATCACAAAGACAAGGTCCTCAAGCTGCTCAACAAGAACGGAGCTGTCAAAAAGTCTAACAAACTGAAACGTAAGGATCGGGCCTAGCCTGGGCTTCCTGTTCCATCACCAACGCCATGGGTCTGTTCATTAGGGCATGCAATGTTTTAAAAACGTTTTGCAACGGAAGATGAAAATTAAAAGTCAAGGTGGTAGTCCCTCCCTGTTTGTCTGTTTTGCTGCTGCTACATGCCTAATGAACACGACCCACCTCTGCCCTGCCCTTCTGGAGGACAGGGTGGAAGAGCTGCTCTGAGCTAACGAACTGGTGGTGCTATGACTGCTGCGCACCATCACCCTCTATCTCTGTCTGTGGACTGAAGCTGAGGACTGAAGCTGAGGACTGAAGCTGAGGACTGAAGCTGAGGACTGAAGCTGAGGACTGAAGCTGAGGACTGAAGCTGAGGACTGAAGCTGGACAACATAACTAGAACCCTCCTGTTGCTCAGAACCCGGCTGGAAGGAATCCCTCTAGGAATAGTTTCTCACTGAAGAAGACCCAACACTTTGTGAGTGTGCCAAATGGCACCCTATTCCCTACATAGTGCACTACTTTTGACCAGAGCTCTATGGGTCCTGATCAAAAGTAGTGCACTATAAAGGGAATAGGGTGCCATTTGGAACACAACACTGCCTGATGGCCCCTTCTTCTTAGTTTACTTTTACAGAGCTCAGGTCTATATTTTTCTTTTGGCGTCATTCAATTGAAGTTACTTCTTGTCAACAAAAAAAACGAGGTTGAATGGAATCTTAAGCACTTACAAATTCATAACATATTGTACAAATTGGAATTGGTAACATCATCAATATGAAGTGGATGGCGTTGTCCACAATGTTCCGCTTTGAGCGTTACTTTCACAACTACTGGCTGAAATTATATAAAACCTTTAGAACGCATCTTTAATACTCTATATTTATTGAGAACGTCCTGTTCTTATTTCAGCATTCACATTGTCTTGCCTGTGGGTAAAACGATGTGGTGCCAAATGCCACATTCTGTTTCAAGTACAGGAAAGTACCGGAAAGTATTCAGACCCCTTGACCTTTTTCCACATTTTGTTACGTTACAGCCTTATTCTAAAATGGATTAAATTGTTTTTTCCCCTCATCAATCTACACATAATACCCCATAATGACAAAGCAAAAACAGGTTTTATGACATTTTTGCTAATGTATAAAAATGTAAAAACTGAAATATCACATTTACATAAGTGTTCAGACCCTTTACTCAGTACTTTGTTGAAGCACCTTTGGCAGTGATTACAGCCTCAAGTCTTCTTAGGTATGACGCTACAAGCTTGGCACACCTGTATTTGGGGAGTTTCTCCCATTCTTCTCTGCAGATCCTCTCAAGCTCTGTCAGGTTGGATGGGGAGCGTCGCTGCACAGCTATCTTCAGGTCTCTCCAGAGATGTTCAATGGGGTTCAAGTCTGGGCTCTGGCTGGGCCACTCAAGGACATTCAGAGACTTGTCCCGAAGCCACTCCTGCATTGTCTTGGCTGTGTGCTTAGGGTCGTTGTCCTGTTGGAAGGTGAACCTTCGCCCCAGTCTGAGGTCCTGAGCGCTCTGGAGCAGGTTTTCATCAAGTATCTCTCTGTACTTTGCTCCGTTCATCTTTCTCTCGATCCTGACTAGTCTCCCAGTTCCTGCCGCTGAAAAACATCCCCACACCATGATCCTTCCACCACCATGCTTCACCGTAGGGATGGTACCAGGTTTCCTCCAGACGTGACGCTTGGCATTCAGGCCAAAGAGTTCAACCTTGGTTTTATCAGACCAGAGAATCTTGTTTCTCATGGTCTGAGTCCTTTAGGTGCCTTTTGGCAAACTCTAAGCGGGCTGTCATGTGCCTTAAATGAGGAGTGGCTTCCGTCTGGCCACTCTACGATAAAGGCCTGATTGGTGGAGTGCTGCAGAGATGGTTGTCCTTCTGGAAGGTTCTCCCATCTCCACAGAGGAACTCTGGAGCTCTGTCAGAGTGGCAATCGGGTTCTTGGTCACCTCCCTGATTGCTCAGTTTGGCCGGGCAGCCAGCTCTAGGAAGAGTCTTGGTGGTTCCAAACGTCTTCCGTTTAAGAATGATGGAGGCCACTGTGTTCTTGGGGACCTTCAATGCTGCAGAAATGTTTTGGTACCCTTCCCCAGATCTGGGCCTCGACACAATCCTGTCTCGGAGCTCTACGGACAATTCCTTCGACCTCATGGCTTGGTTTTTGCTCTGACATGCACTGTCAACTGTGGGACCTTTATATAGACAGGTGTGTGCCTTTCCAAATCATGTCCAATCAATTGAATTTACCACAGGTGGACTCCAATCAAGTTGTAGAAACATCAAGGATGATCAATGGAAACAGGATGCACCTGACCTCAATTTCGAGTCTCATAGCAAAGGGTCTGAATACATATGTTTTTTTATTTTACACATTTGCTAAAATGTAAAAAAAAAAAAAAAAAAATGTTTTCGCTTTGCCATTATGGGGTATTGTGTGTAGATTGAGGAACCTTTTTTAATTTAATAAATTTTAGAATAAGGCTGTAACGTAACAATGTGTGGAAAAAGTCAAGGGGTCTGAATACTTTCCGAAGGCACTGTATGTTATATTCCTTATAATGGAAGATAGGGCAATCTCAACAGGCTTAATTGTACTGTATGTACAAACCCAGGACTTAATGATGATGAGGATATTGGCTCACAGTGTTTGTCTTCTGATATTTATTTGATAATGAACGAGACAGTCTGGGTATAATAGAGCGTTTTACATACGGATGTTTTGGGAAATGGCTGACAAGCATAGTGGGTCATTTATCATGGTGTGATTGAAGACGGGACATTATGCGTTTTGGTTTAAAGAAAAAGGTACATTTACTTGAAGGAAGGAAGTGGTGTGCTTGTCGTGTTAACTACAACGCCAGAAACAGATGTGTTCACAATTTTAAGAAGTTGTTGAAAGTGTTTTACGTTGTTTTTTTTTTTTTTTTGTTTTTTTTTGGCTCATTCTTTTTTGTTGGTTTTGTACTTCATGAAAACATGTTGTGCTTTTTTTTTCAGATGTTATGATGAGACACTCTGGGCCTGAAAATCCAAGATATTATACCTGGGTTTCTGTCTGTGTTATTGTTATAGTAAAACCACTTCAAGGAAACTGTATTCTCAGTAATTTTTTTTGATATGTTCTGTTCCCATTGTTGTAGAGTAGACTAGAGCAGGGGGTTTCTCAAACGTTTTGGGGGCCACAGACCCCTTTTGTGATAGCAAATCCATCAGGGACCCCCACAGAATCAGAACACAGCTCACGTGAGATAAAAATTGGCCTACAAGGAGTTTTACTATGACGCGTGCCTGGCTGGACGAACCACGTCTCGGGCCCGGCGGGAAAAAAACAAACATTTAAAAGGCCCGATTCTTGGCATCAGATATACAATTTTGCCACTTTCAAGATTATTTCCTGCAATTCTACACCTTTTGTCATGGGGTAGAGAGATGTTTTGTTGTTGCAGCTTCAAAGCTAATATGCTGCAATTCTACACATTTTTCCATTAGGCATAGATAACTTTGCAGTTGTAAAGGCCCTGTGCAGTCACACACTGAGGTTGAAAAATATTATAATGCCCTTTTAGTGTAAGAGCTATTTGAAAAGACCACCTGAAATTTCAGCTTGTTTTTGGTGGGATGGAGTTTTGGCCTACCTGGTGACATCACCAGGTGGTAATTTAGTTAATAGACCAATAAGGAAGAGAGTTCCAAACCTCTCTGCCAATAACAGCTAGTTTTCTGTTTTCCTCCTCCCCATTCAGACCACTCCCAGACAGTCCTAGCAAAGTAATTGCTTGAGAAATGTTTCTTTGCTAAGAAGATATTTCTGTTTATATTTTTTAACCATTTTAATTGAAAACAATCACAGTAAGGTACTTCATTTTTACCCAGAAATGATTTGATATTGAAATAAAAATGAATGCATTGGACCTTTTTAAAGCTTGAATTAAAGTGCATTTATGTAAAAAAATAATAATACTGGTACTGAGGATACCAACATCCCAGTGAGCCTCCCAGATCCATGTTGCCCAGGGTTAACAACAAATTGTAGACTAATAATATTACATTGTATTACACACTTTAAACGTATTCCACAGATCCCTGCCCATAAGTTGTTTAATTTGTTAGTATATTCATTAAATGTAAAAAAATTATAAACAATAATAATAATGATATTTTGAGATCCGGCCGCAGACCCCACTTTGAGAACCCCGGGGGGCTGTTCCAGAAAGCTGTATCATTGAGTTTCTCCGCTGACTGTCTAAACTTTCTTGAAATAACTTAATGTTTTTTGAAAAATATAAACTCACAAACATTGTAGACTAGAGAGGAATTGTAGGATAGCAGCTCCTCATCAGCCTGGATTAAAACCATGGCAGATAAACTTTACTTTATTTGACGGAACATTTCTCAAAATGTTCTTTTTTTTATCCGTAGTCCCTGATTTGAGATATGCAGCGATAGGAACATGGCAACGAGAATCCGTAACTGCACCTCTGTCAGGGAAACCTGAGGTATACAAACAGGAAGTTGCCTCTACCACACCCTATATGAAGAGAGAATGGAATTCAAACAGGAAGTTGCCTCTACCACACCCTATATGAAGAGATAATGGAATTCAAACAGGAAGTTGCCTCTACCACACTCTATATGAAGAGAGAATGGAATTCAAACAGGAAGTTGCCTCTACCACACCCTATATGAAGAGAGAATGGAATTCAAACAGGAAGCTGCCTCTACCACACCCTATATGAAGAGAGAATGGAATTCAAACAGGAAGCTTCCTCTACCACACCCTATATGAAGAGAGAATGGAATTCAAACAGGAAGTTGCCTCTACCACACCCTATATGTAGAGAGAATGGAATTCAAACAGGAAGTTGCCTCTACCACACCCTATATGAAGAGATAATGGAATTCAAACAGGAAGTTGCCTCTACCACACTCTATATGAAGAGAGAATGGAATTCAAACAGGAAGCTGCCTCTACCACACCCTATATGAAGAGAGAATGGAATTCAAACAGGAAGCTTCCTCTACCACACCCTATATGAAGAGAGAATGGAATTCAAACAGGAAGTTGCCTCTACCACACCCTATATGAAGAGAGAATGGAATTCAAACAGGAAGTTGCCTCTACCACACCCTATATGAAGAGAGAATGGAATTCAAACAGGAAGCTGCCTCTACCACACCCTATATGAAGAGAGAATGGAATTCAAACAGGAAGTTGCCTCTACCACACCCTATATGAAGAGAGAATGGAATTCAAACAGGAAGTTGCCT